AGAGAGAGAGAGAGAGGCAGCGTGAGCAGGGGAGGGTCAGAGAGAGAGGGAGACACAGAATCTGAAACAGGTTCCAGGTTCTGAGCTGGCAGTCAGCACAGAGACCGGGACTGAACCCACAAGCTGTGAGATCATGACCTGAGCTGAAGTTGGGAGGCTTAAACCATCAGTTTAAATAATCTAAAATTTTCTATATATTACTATGTTTTGACATTCTAGAAAAGCCTTTTCTGGCTTGGGAGAAACAATTCTTCTTCTTCTCCTCCTTCTTCTTTTCTTCTTCTCCTTCGTCTTCTCCTCCTCCTCCTTCTTCTTTTTTTAATGTTTATTTTTGAGAGACAGAGAGCATGAGCAGGGGAGAGTCAGAGAAAGAGGAAGGGTGAGAATCCCAAGCAGACCCCATGCTATCAGCACAGCGCCCGATGAGGGGGCTCGATGAGGGGGCTCGATCTCACAAACAGGGAGTTTGTAACCTGAGCTGAAATCAAGATGCTTAACCCACTGAGCCACCTAGGCACACCCCCCCACCCCACCCCAGACAATTCTTAAGAGATGGAGATGGCCCAGCTGGGAGCATTATCCAGAGCCTTCCCTACTCCATCTAGCCCTTTTCACCCAGGGAGGCAATCAATACTCCTCAGCCTTAATCATCCCACAGCTAGGTGCCAGGGAACTAGGGACTGGCCCTACAATCCGAAGCTGGCCAAAATTATTCAAACCAGTCAGTTCTAAACCCCTCCCTGCCTTGCCTTTTCCCAGAACCCTTAAGAAAGTCTGTGGCCTACACCTTCTCACATCCCTCTATCTTCTGCCTCCTGACTCTGGTGTCTTTCCAATGTGGCCCTGTGAAAGCTTTTTTTTCTTTTTTCAATCTACGAAAATGGATTTGTCTCCTGTTTCTAGGATCTGTGAGTTTTTTTTCCCCCTCTGCTCTTTTCTGTCTTTTGTGGTTGCACCTAACAGACCACCTCATAAAAGCCACCAAATATGTAATCTTGTTACTAAAAACTGATAAAGACATTATGAGGAAGAGAAATTACAGGTAGACCCCACTCATGAACGATAACAAAAATTCTATAAAAACATATTAAGAAGTTGAATCCAGCAATATATAAAAACGAATGAGACTTCATGTCCAAGTTGTGTTTATGATTATTTTAGTAATACAAGCTAAGCTTAACTTTTAAAAAAATCAATTCATGAATTTACCACATTAACAAACCAAACAAGAAAAATCATAGATTATCTCCACAGCTGCAGGAAAAATATTTAATACAATTTGGCTTATATTTATGATACAAAACTCTTAGTGAGTGTGCCTGGCTGGCTCAGTTGTTAAAGCATGTGACTCTTAATCTCAGGTTTGTGAGTTTGAGCCCCATGTTGGGGCTAGAAATTACTTGGGGGAAAAAAAACAACAAACTCTTAGCAAACTGGGAAATAAAAGAGAACTTTTTAAATAATTTTTGTAAACATTTTAATTTATTTTTGAGAACAGAGACAAAGTGTGAGAGGGGGAGGGGCAGAGAGAGAGGAAGACAGATTTAGAAGCAGGTTCCAGGATCTGAGCTGTCAGCCCAGAGTCCTAGGTGGGGCTCAAAACCATGAACTGTGCGGTCATGACCTAGACCAAATTTGGCAGTCAACTGAGTGAGCCACCTAGGTGTCCCTATCTCCCTTTTTTTATGAAGTTAAAAACACCCTAATGTTATACTGTATATATACTCTTATTACATACTGTACCTTACTATGTACGTATACACTTATATGTACATTTTGTGTACAGAGTTATACACTTAAGATGATGGCCACTGTATCTTATGATTGACTTAAGGGATTTCCAAAGGTTATGTTCACTGTGTAATTTTTGCCTTATGTACTGATTTTAGAACCTAACCTTGGTGTAGGGTACAGCTGTACTGTTGAGGGATTTAAGAGCTATTTAGGAGATTTGGTGACTGCCTGGAATAGAAGGGAGAAGGAGAAATCTGACAATAAATTATATTTTATTTTTTTAAATATTTTTATTTATTTCTAGGAGAGAGAGAGACAGCGTGAGCAGGGGAGGGTCAGAGAGGGAGATACAGACTCTGAAATAGGCTCCAGGCGCCCCAACAAATTATATTTTAAAAAAAGAAGAAGAAGAAGGGAGAAGGAGAGCGATTCCCAGGTCTCTTGCCTAAACAACTGAGTAGGTGGTGGTTCTGTTTATTGAGCTGGGGCCCATTGGGGTAGGAAGAATTGGAGGGTAGAGATGATCATTTATTTTCCTCAATATTTTATGAAAAATTTCACAAATGCAGAAACGTTGACAGATTGTATAGTGAACACTGTATAACTACCACCTAGGTTCTACAACTCACTTACTGCTATATTTTCTTTTTCATATCTTCTGCGCCTGGCTGGCTTAGTCGGTTAAGCGTCTGACTTTTGCTTAGGTCATGATCTCGCGGTTCGTGGGTTCGAGCCCCGCGTCGGGCTCTGTGCTGACTGCCAGCTCAGAGCCTGGAGCCTGCTTCGGATTCTGTGTCTCCCTCTCTCTCTCTGACCCTTCCCTGCTCGCGCTGTCTCTCTCTCTCCTAGAAATAAATAAAACATAAAAAAAAAAAAAACATATCTTTCCACATACCCATAGGAGTTCATTACTAATGCACTGAATCTGTGTGATCTGAGAGACTTCCAAGAGTCGCGTCTCACAGGCTACTGATCTCGACACAGAAGCACACGTTGTTCACCTCCCACTCATACTCAATTCCCTAGAATTAGGCCTTTAAAAAAAAGTTGTCTATTGGGGCGCCTGGGTGGCTTAGTCGGTTAAGCGTCCGACTTTCGCTTAGGTCATGATCTCGCGGTTTGTGGGTTCGAGTCCTGCGTCGGGCTCTGTGCTGACTGCCAGCTCAGAGCCTGGAGCCTGTTTCAGTCTGTGACTCCCTCTCTCTCTGACCCTCCCCTGCTCGCGCTGTCTCTCTCTCTCTCCTAGAAATAAATAAAACATTAAAAAAAAAAAAAAGTTGTCTACTTAGTTATTTTTATGTTATCTCTACACTCAATGTGGGACTTGAACTCACAACCCTGAGATCAAGAGTCACATGCTCTTTTGACTTAGCCAGCCAGGTGCCCCTGGAATGCAGCTTTTAACATCTTCCTTCTCTTTAAAATTTTTATCTATCTATCTATCTATCTATCTATCTATCTATCTATCTATCTATCTATGAAAGACAGAGAGTGCACGCATGCACATGGGAAGGGCAGAGGAACAGAAAGAGAATCTCAAGCAAGCTCCATGCACCGCTCAGAGCCTGACTCAGGCCTCGATCTCAGGACCCTGAGACCATGACCTGAGCGGAAATCGAAGAGTCTGATGCTCAACTGACTGAGCCACCCTGGCGGCCCTACCATCTTCCTTCGAAAGGTGCTTTCACTAAGGACACCAACTACTGAAGACCCCAGAACTGAACTCCTCCTCATCTTCCTGTACATCTTACCTTACAGCTATCTACCTCTCCAATTTAGGGTATCTCTGGCAGCAAGCTCTTTCAATCTCATCTTTTTCTTTTTTTATAGTTATAATTTTTTTTTAAATATTTTTATTTATTTCTAGGAGAGAGAGAGAGAGAGAGACAGCATGAGCAGGGCAGGGTCAGAGAGAGAGGGAGTCACAGACTGAAACCGGCTCCAGGCTCTGAGCTGGCAGTCAGCACAGAGCCCGACGCGGGGCTCGAACCCACGAACCGCGAGATCATGACCTAAGCGAAAGTCGGACGCTTAACCGACTAAGCCACCCAGGCACCCCCCCAATCTCATCTTTTAAATATCTCTAACAGATGTCCTCTCCCTCTTCATCCCCTGTACCATTAAAGTTCTGGATCTCAAAATTTCTCATTTTATTGATTTGGTGAGCTACAATTTCACCCTCTGAACTACTTGTCCCCATCTCTATCCTTTCTCTAGCTTACCTAGTCATCTGTCCGTCTCATTTATCTTTTGAAAAAGTCTGTTCACAACACTTTTCTTTTACAATATTTTACAGGTGCTTATACCCAGGTTGGCATGACTTCCATAGGCTTTCAAGATCTGCCAGAAAGCATGACTCCCCCTAAATTTACAACCTTATGCCCAGTTACCCGCCCACACCATTTTTACTATGTGTTAGCTCTTCAAATATACCAACCACACTTTCTGCTTTACTGCCTCCTCTACGAAGACCTCCCTGAGAGCTAGGCTAGGGGAATTTCACAGAACCCTGAGGATACATCTAATCATTAAATATTCAAGTCTCCACAGAGATAAAAATCCTTGAGGGCGGTGCTTTGGTCTTTACGGCCAAAATACTTAGACTCGCTACTTGAGGGTACTCTGCCTAACACAAAACGGAGACTGCTTCCTTCAGCGGAACTCTGCTTTGTACACTTTACCCTCCTGTTCTGCAAAATCCTACCCAAGCCTGAATTCCTTCTTGAAGCTTGTTAAGTAGTTAGGGGCTCTGGCTCCTTTATCCGCTGCCCCTGAGCTTAATAAATTATATTTTAATAGTCTATCTATATAACTAAGTGCCGTACATGTTAACACTTTCCCTTTTCCTTGGTAACTAACATCAATCCTATCCATGCTTCTGGGCTCAATCCCTGATCCCTAGAGAGAATTACTTCTTTTAACTCTCAGCTCACGAACCCTGCAACCTGGGGCGCCTGGGTGGCTTAGTCGGTTAAGCGTCCGACTTTCGCTCAGGTCATGATCTCACGGTTCCTGGGTTCGAGCCCCGCGTCCGGCTCTGTGCTGACAGCCAGCTCAGAGCCTGGAGCCTGTTTCGGATTCTGTGTCTCCCTCTCTCTCTGACCCTCCCCTGCTCACGCTGTCTTTCTCTCCTAGAAATAAATAAAACATTAAAAATTAAAAAAAAAAACGAACCCTGAAATCTATTTAGCGCCTGACAGTCTTTCATTACTGCTGCTTACTAACGCGTTCCCGGTTCCCTCCCCGTCCATCCCGGAGACTGTAACCTTTCAGGGGTGGGAAGGGCGATCCTACCTTTCTAACTCCCTCTCCAGTACTTGGCGCTGCGCTTCGCACACGCTGCCGTAAAGCACCTCCTGGGAGCTAGTGAAGGGACACAGCCCTGCGGAGACGTCCCTGCCCGCGGACCCGCCCGCTCGCCCCTCCTCAAGCCGGGCCCCGTCCCCTCGCCCCTCTGCAAACTGGGCCTCGCCCCCTCACCCCTCCTCAAGCCAGACCCAGCTCCCTCACCCCTCCGCAAATCGGGCCCCGCCCCTCACCCCTCCGCAAATCAGGCCCCGCCCCCTTGCCCCTCCGCAAGCCGGGTCCCGCCCCCTCTGCAAGCCGGGCCCCGACCCCCTCCCGGTTCCCAGCCTAGGCGGACCCGCGCGCCGGCCGGGTAAGCGGAGGACTGGGCCCAGCCTCGCCTGGCTCTGGCCCGAGGTCCCAGCGGCCGTCTGGACGATTGCAGGACATCCGCCGACCACCCGCGCAGGCGCGGAGACGCTCCTGGAAGCACGTGACCCAAGCCCTCCTCCCACCGTTGCCCGCGTAGGAGCCGGCGGAGGCACTGGCCTCGCTCGCTGGTTTGAGCCTGGTGCTGATGGACAGGCGAGCGAGCTGCCAAGACACTGCTTTAGTTAGAAACAGCCGATGGAATACTACACGGCAATGAGAAAGAATGAAATCTGGCCACGTGTAGCAGCATGGATGGACCTTGAGGGTGTTATGCTGAGCGAAATAAGTCAGGCAGAAAAGGACAAATATCAAATGTTTGCACGTATAGGAGGATTGGGAGGAACTTAACGGAGGACCATGGGGGAGAAGGGGAGAAATGGTGGGGGAAAGGGAGAGAGGCAAACCATGAGAGACTCTTGAATGCTGAGAATAAACTGAGGACTTATGGGTGTGGGGAGGAGGGGGGAGATGGGCATGGAGGAGGGCACTTGTGGGGATGAGCACCCGGTGTTATATGGAAACCAACTTGACAAACTATCTGTAAAAAAAAAAAAAAAGAAAAGAAAAGAAACAGCCACCGCCAAGTGTAGATAAGTAAATAAGAGGCTGGGGAGAAGCGAGAGGCAGGTATCTGGGATCTTGTTCCTGGTTGGGGCAGGACCGCAGTTCTTGCTTCACCCCCCGCGGTCGTTACTGGGACCGAGGGCGGCCCGCTTTCTGGACACTTGTGCAGGTGGCAGAGTAACAGAGGGCTTGTCCCCAGGAGACCGAGTCTTCCGATTATTTCAGCTCTCGTTTCTTGGGGGCAGCCTCCGGCCCCTCCCCTCAGGTATGCTCTCCCAACTGGACTTCTAGTTTCCTGCCTGGCTGGCTGCCTACCAGATGCCGCACTGGGCAAATCTGAACCCTGCTTGAACCTGCCGGTGCCTTCGAGGGCAGAGGTGCCAGGACGCACTTTAAAGCCTTGGGGATGAGACATTCGTGACGAGCTACTGCTTATCAAGCCAGCCACATCTGGAAGGGAGACCACCAGAGCTTCAGAGCCCTTTCAGCCTTGGCGCTTCTCCGCCTGAGCCGTCCTGCCCGAGACGTACCTGCGCCCTTGCACCTTATACTTCTGGGGAGGCTCCGACCTCACCCCCGCAGAGGCTTGCCCCAGTCCACCCGGACTGCCCTCAGCCCTACTCCTGCCTCCGACTGGCTATCTCGCAGCCCCCTACAAGCCCGCTTCTCACACCTGCTAGGCTCCCGGAATACCAGCAACTTGATGGGAGCGGTTGTGTGTTTTCCGGAAGTGTCCTCCCCCCGCCCCCCCAGCATAGCGCACAGCCACAGGTGTTCGGTAAATGGATACTGAATGAATCAAGGCATGGACTCCCAAGGATCAAAAGTGAACATTTTAAAATGTAGGGCTGGGTTATGGCACTTTGGGGGCTCACCAAAGACACGAAATCATCTTTTTTTGCCTTTAAATGATGATAGCTCGCTAGCGAGATGACACGGTTTTTCAAATATGTTAATAAATCCAAGGGGACAAATAGTGAAGCTGGGCTGTGTAGGTAAGGTGCTGTCACAGCCTGGGGAATGGTCTGCTCAGTCGGAGGGGGCAGGGCAGCGGGCCTCGGTCGAGTCACTGAGGAGAATCCAGGCAGGCTTAGGAGGGTGTGTTTGTGTGTGCGACGTTAAAGACAATGAGGATGGCAAATCCAAGAGGTGTTTACTGTAATGAGCGTTCAAGGAGGGTGGGGCTCCCCCAATCTGATCCTCCAGGGTTCTGGGGTGACTCACTCTTCCTTGGGCTCCGAGGGCGGGGCCGAGACTTCTCCCCGGTGTTGGCCCTGCTCCCCCTGGCCCTTGGCATCCCCAGTGTCTCCAGCCACTAGAGCCACATTCCGCAGATAGTAAGTGTTGAAGCAGTTGGTCTGCTTCTCTCCAGAACTCAGGTTACAGCAGAGAGCAGAGTCTCTCCAGGAGTTACGTTGGGGACCACACAGGTCCTCAATGAAGGTTGATTTCTGATGGAGGAGAAGAGTAAAGCAGAGGTGATAGGGAAGGAGGTGTCCGAGGTCAAGCATCAATACGTAGGTGCTCCAAGTCCCCTTTCCCTCGGCTTGTCTCCCTAGATCCCTTCCTGGGGCCAGAGAGGGTGCAAGGCCACCTTGCACACCTGGATTCCTTGTGGCAGACATATGCGCACATCTGGAAATGCCTCAGGCTTGGGACCCAGAGAAGGCGTAATAAGAACTTAGAGGTGGGGAGCCGATCAGGTCAGAATGAAGCCTTCTGGAACCAAGAAAAAAGATCTTCCCCACACAACCTCTTTATTTCTCTGGGCAGGTGTGAAGTACTAAAGAGAAGGGGTAGCCTGCAGTGCCAGCCCCCTCTCTCCCCTCCCCTGTTTTCCTTTGGCGACTATGACCCCCTGCGGCCCTCACTCACCTCCTCCTCAGCACAGCAGGCCTGTTCTGGAAATGGCAGCTCACAGCAGTGGGCAGTCATGTTCCGGATCAGCCCAGGAATCTGTTTGCTATGTGGGTGGGAAAGGGGTAAGGGTCAGGGTCGTTATGCATCCCTAGGCAAGAAAATGGTGCTTGGAGACCACGGTTTTGCTCTTACCAAGAGTGCCCCAGAGGATGGCCCAGAAGGGAGGTTTTGGGGGAAGGGAAGAGAGTTAGGGAAGAACTGGGCAAGACTCACTGCTTGGAGAGAACTCTTCCGTTTCCACAGAGATAGCCCATGAGGTTGGGGGTAACGTGGCTGAGGTCAAGGGTCAAGATGTCTCGGTCATAGTTGGGGAAGGGGGCCTGACGGGCAAAGCACTCATCGCGGGCAGGGCTCGGAGGATGGCGGCAACACGGGTGGTGGTGGGTCTTTATGGACTGTTCGCTGTCGCAGTATCCATCAAGGGCATCCTCCCACTGTGGGCCAGAGAGGGAAGTCAGAAGTTTGGACACTCGGCCTCTTCTCTTCTGACTCTCGACTTCCCTTACCGGCCCGCACTAGGAGGTGAGGGACTCCCGGCCACTGGTGCCGAAAGGGAAGGGCAAAGAGCCAGCGGGCAAGGAAGCCGCTGTGGATGTACGGTGTTGGGAAGGTGGGAGAACCCACGCACAGACGGGGCTTGGAGCCGGGGCCACGCGAGACGAGCTGGAATGGTAGACGAGGGGCTCAGGCGAGGCCAGAGCCGGGCGGACGGATGGCCCACGGGAGCATGCGTGGGACCGCGGGCGGACGAGACCCGGAGTGCAGGATGGAGGCTTAGGACGAACAGACTCAGACGCCGAATACAGTGGGTGGACGGACACTTGCAAGCAGACGAACAGGTGGATGCGCTCGCAGCGGGGAGGCACATGGACTGACGGACCAGCAGGATCAGGGGCCAGAGACAGGCGGGTGGGCGCACAGGCTCCTGGGGGGGCTGGGACGCCCACTTACAGCCTTCCACGCACAGGTGTGGTTGTCCCCCTGCCGGCAGCAGCGCTGGAGCGCCCCCTCTAGCTGGATCAGTGCCTGCAGCTGTCTTTGGAGGGGGTCGGTGGCTGGGAGGTTGCGTGGCACAGAGCGGAAACGTCGTAGGTGGCAGATGTTCTTGATGTTGTCTGGCGTGGGAACCCCAGGGGGGAAAGGCAGCTCGGGGCCCGAGGCAATAGCAGGCTGGCGGCTGGGGCAGGCCCGGAGCTGGTAGTGTGGCCGGGGGGCCTCCTCCTGAAAGCAGGAGAACCGAGCCTCCCCCTGCCGCTTGCAGCACCAGTGGGGCCGGGTCTTGACCGAGAACTCGGCCTCACAGAATCGGATCATTGCGTCCTCCCACTAGAGCAAGAGGGATGGATCAGCCCAGCAGCCCATTGTCCACATTCCTGTCTTCCTCCCAGGCTCCAGAAAAGGACCCTGGGCAGGTAGATAAGAAAGAAGCAGAGGCTGTTCTCTGCCCTCCCAGCATAGCGAGGGGGCCCCAGGCGGGGCCCGAGGCTCCTCCGTGCCTAGGCCTAGGCCTCTGGTTCTTCACACACGCACACACTGTCCGGAGGTTCAAAGGCAGCCCCGGCATCAAGACCCCGACACTTACCACAAGTTTTGTGCAGTCCAAGCGGTTTGTGTGGCTGTGACAGCGGCAGCAGCGGGAATATCCCGTCTCCAGTAAATTGAGGGTCTCGCCCTGGCGAGTTAGGTGGGAGTAGCCAGAGCGCGGCAGGTTCCAAGGGCCGTACACCACATGCTGGCGACTAGGAAAGCAGATCCGGTCCAGGTTGTCTGGAGAGGGCCGCCCGGGGGGGAAGCCGTCCAGCCGGTGGCCCCAGCCTCCCGGGGATCGGCCCTGTTGGCAGTGCAGGGCTGGATTCCAAGACTCAGGCCCGGGGGGGCTGTGCTCTGTGAAAGTCTCTTCTAGAATGGGGAAAACAGAGGGAAGAATGGGTAGAGGAACAGAGCAAGCCTGGGGGAGCTCAGAGGACTGAAAGAACTTGGGATTGAAAAGAAGGGGTTGGGAGGATACAGAGGGGAAAGAGACAGACATGAACTTGTGGCTTTTACCTTCATAATGGCTGATGGAAAGGGACGAGGACTGGGCATGAAAGGTGTCACCCTTACAGCCCCCACAAGTCAGGCCTGCTCCCCTGTGCTGCCTCCCAGCCCAGAGCCCCAAGCACTACAGCAGGGGCATGGACAGACCAGAGCTGTCACTCACCCTCTCTCTGGTTAGATGAGAAGGTCATTTCCTCCTGATACAGGAAAGGTGGGTCTACTGGGGTAGAAGGAGATGTGTAAACAGAAGCCATGTTGGGATGGACTAGAAGGGGGGAACATGGCCGGTTGCCACTCATAAGGAGGAAGTCAGTACAGACACAAGAGAAAACAAATGCTCCTTTTATGCCATTGATCTCATAACTTTATAAAATAGGTCTTGTTTCCCCATTTTCACAGATGAGGAAACTGAGGCTTGGGGAAAGGTTATATGGCTAGCATGTGGCAGGGCCCCCATGCCCGTGTGCATCAGTCGGGAGGGTGAAGAAGAGAGGGAGTCACTTACTTTCCTTCTGCTCAACAGGGACCTGGAGAGGGGGCAGCTCTTCTTGGAGGGGGATGGCTTCCTGAGGGAGAGGGGGATCTGCCACAAGACAGGAGTGAGGGCCCAGAGAAGCAAGGATTAGACTGATGTCAGCAGCACTGGGGGGGGGGGGGGGCGGTGGTTAGGAAATGGGCAAGCGCTCACCTTTCTTTTCAGTGGGGAGTTGGGGAGGGGGCAGCTCTTCCTCTTGGACAGGGATGGCTTCCTGAGCGGAAGGGGGCTGTACTACAGAAGGGGGTATATGTGAGTAGACCACCCCAGGCCAAGGAATAGGCAGGGCTTTCTCACCCCTCCCCACCTGAAGAACAGGAAGTAAGCCAGACCTGCAACCTGGGGGGGCAGGTAACTGAGAAGGGCACATGGGGGACTTACCTTCACTCTGTCCCTCAAAGTGAAAGCCATGCTGAGGGGTGTCAGGATGATCCATGGAGAGGGCTCCGGTCTGGGGTGGGGAGGGGGGCGCTGCATAGCCGACTAGAGGGACGAGGGGACATAGTCAGAGCTGACAGTTTCTCCTGGACCCCCACCGATGCTGCTCACCCAAGCTCTCACCTTCGTGAATGTGATAGGTGAGGGGCTCTGGCCCCAGCTCCCGCTGCCCTGAAAGAAGAAGGGCGAGTCAGGGATGGTTCTAAGGAGCCCTTTCTTGGCCCCAAGCACAGGATGCGGGGACAGTAGACATCAAGGGTGTAGGCAAGATGACCAAGACATTGCTTCTTAATCCCTGTCCCTTAATCAATGCACACCCCGCCCCCAGACCCACCCAGGTGTGACTGATTGGGTTCTGAGAAAGCCATGATGTTCTGATAGCCTCACCTCCACCAGGCTCAAAGCCTTGGGTTTCCTGAGTCCAGGCTTGAGGGGGATGTGACATGGGGCTGCAGGTGGGAGGAATGGGGTGGTGGAAGCCTGACTCTCCTGTCAGTGTCTATCCCTCAGGGCCTCTGGGCTCTCCTCCTTTCAGCCTCTCAGCTCTGATGTTTCTCTAGTTTTCTAGAGGAGCAAGTCCCAACTTTGAACCAGTTGGGGTCTCATCGGTCCACCTCCTCCAGGCCCTTTGAATATCTGTGGGCCTTCTCACAAGAAGCCCACACTGAAGTTTAAGTGCCTCCCTTTCAGCCGGTCCCAGATCCTCCTTAGCTTAGGTCTCAATTTAGGACCTGGGGACTGGGATGATTCAAGACTCCTGAGGCAACTTGCCCCGCAGCTGCAGGGGAAGGTATGGCTTATAGCTGATGTGAGGTCATTGAAGACTAGCACCCGGGAGGAACAACCAGATGGGCCTTCCAGATACCGAGCGGAGCTGTGGCACTCTAAGTTCCCCTTGGTGCCACTTTGTCCAGCACGCAGCAGATGTGTGTGTGCTAGATAGAGTGTGTCTGGTCCGGTGTGGATGGACACCCTCTCCACTCCTCTCCTAACCGGTCAGGCTCTCTGGGTCAGCAGATCAGTTTCAAGTAGCCTGGGGCCCCCATTCTTTCTCTCTCCCCTGCCGGACAGGCCCCATATACACCCCTTACTGAGGCAGAACCCCTCGCTCTGGGAATCCACCCACCGAGTTGTCCATTTGACTCCAATTTTGTCTTCCGGCAGCGGTCTCTAGGAAACCCTCCTCCTGTGCACCTGCTCCCCTCCCTGGCCCACCTTGGGTCTGCTTGGAAATTCAAGGCCAAGTGGTCCATGCCTCTTCTGGTGGTGAGCCATCCAGAGGATGGCTGGACACAGGCCCCAGGCCCCCACTGGCCAGGGCCTCTTTCTGAGTGCTGGCTCCAACCCCAACTCACCTCCCTTGGAGGCTACAGAAGCGACAGCCAGACAGGCCAAGACCAAGGCTGCTCTGTACATGGTCCCCATCCTGGGGCAAGGACTGGTCGGTGGCACCCAGGAGGCGGGTCGTCTCAGGTGGATCTGGACTTGAAGGGCTGGGCTGCCGGGAGCCTGCTTCTCTGGTCGCTGTCACCGCTGCTGTGAAGCCAGGGGCTGGCTCCTTCTCCTTTTATTCGGCTATCTGGGGATCACTCCCTCCCTCCTACTTCCTGCCATGACTCAGTCCCAGCTGCTGCTCCTCTGGCTGGGCAGCTGCTCCTCCCAAACTCACCCTGACGCCGCCTGCGGACTGAGGAGAACTGGGTGAGGAGAGGAGAGCATTCTTAGGATCCCCAGAGAAGTGGATTCTGAGCCTCGTGGAGGAAGAGGTGCTTAGACCTTCCTTTCCACTTCAGGGCCTCTGCCCACTCGCTGCCTGCTGTGGGGCAGTACAACCTGCTAAACTGTGGCCGGGGAGCCAGGCACTAAGGAACCCAGGGTAGGGGGCAGGGCAGCGACCCCAGGAGCTCCCCTACCAGCGAGAGGCCAGGGCCGATCCCCCTTCTGCTGCCCTGGCACCCCAGGATGAAAGAGACGGGGACAGAGTCAAACTCCCTTTTATCCCTACTCAGGAATCAGATGGAGACACATGCCCAGGAGCTTCAAGTTTATTCTTTGTTGTTTCACTCTCCTCACACCCAGACAGCCTGGCTTCCCCCAGATCACATCTGTTCGCAGGAGGGCAAACTCATGCTCCCACACCCGTTCGGAGGGGCCAGGGGGCCTCCAGCTGCTGGCAGCCAGGTGAGGCCCTCCCTCACGAAGGGAGGCTGGCGGCGCCGTAGGTCACTGCATCTGCACCCAGTGGATCAGAACACCTGTTCGGCATCCGGGACCCTGGCGCTCTGGAGCTCCAGCAGCCGCTGCACAGCCTCGGTCATGTTCCGCTCCCCGAGCTGGCGGTTCTCTCGGGTCCGGATGTTCACCGTTCCCTTACTCTGCTCTTTCTGGCCAACCACTGTGGGAAGAGGGGAGGGTTGAGGCTGTCAGGGCGCGTTTATCCACACGGGAGATGCAACAATTCAAGAGGCCTAAATCTTTAGTAGGAAGGGCGAGAGCAGAGGCCAGATTAGGTTCAGGAAAAGGGTATATTTAGCTGTGTCTTGCTTCCAGGGCCCTGATCATCCTGATGGATAAGGAAACCACACACATTGTCCACGTGCCTTATCGCGTCCAGTCAGGAGCCCAGGGGTCGGAGTGCAGGGTCAGCCAGAAAAAGACAAATAGACCAAGAACTAGACCCAGGAACAAACTGTGTGTGGGGGGACATTGGGGGTGTGTGTGTGGCAGGGGTACAAGAAACACATGCAAGCCTGTGGGGTCATGGGTGACTTGCTCTAAGCGCTCATGGGCAGGTGGGAGTGTGAAAGCAGAGAATCAAGTAATCAGGCAAAGGAGTTTCTGCTCCTTGCCTTCAAGACAGAGCTCTGTGTGGGGAAATGAGAAAAGGAGCAAGGCGGCCTGATTCTTCTCAAGGCCTTTCTTACCATCCCTTAGGGCTCATTCCAACTAAGTCTAGAATAAACAAAGCTAACTAATTAACCCCTGATTAATCCTTCCTGTCCCTTTCTCTGTGACGCTCCTTTGGTTAATTAACCTAACAGACACCAAGAGCTAGGATGGGGGTCAGAGGAAAACTGTTTTCTTGAAACCATAAAACTCCTAGAAGAAAACATAGTAGGTAATAATATCTTGGACATCAGCCTTAGCAACTTTATTCTGCATATGTCTCCTCAGGCAGGGAAAACAAAAGCAAAAATAAACTACTGGGACCACATCAAACTAAAATGCTTTTGCACAGCAAAGGAAACTATCAACACAATGAAAAGGCAACTGCAACCTACTGACTTGAAGGCTATATTTGCAAATGATGTATCTGGTAAGGTGTTAATATCAAAAACATACAGGAGTACCTGGGTGGCTCAGTTGGTTGGGCATCCAACTCTTGATTTCGGGTCAGGTCATGATCTCATGGTTTGTGGGTTTGAAACCCACGTCAGGTTCTGTGCTGGCAGTGCAGAGCCTGCTTGGGATTCTTTCTCTCCCTTTCTCTGCCCCTCCCTTGCTTTCTCTCTCAAAATAAAGAAACTTAAAGCAACTCTCTCCCAAATAAAGAACCCCTGCAACTCAAATCTGAAAAACCCCAAATCATCATATTTGAAAATGTGCAGAAGGCCTAAAGGGGCATTTTCCAAAGAAGACATAGATGGCCAACAAGCACATAAAAAGATGCTTACCAACACTCAGCGTCAAGGAAATGCAAATCAAAACCACAATGAGATATCTCTTCACACCAGTAAGCAGTGTTGGCAAGGATGTGGAGAAAAAGGGATGCTCACACACAATTGGTGGGAATGTAAGCTGGTGCAGCCAGTGTAGAAAACAGTATGGAGGTTCCTCAGTAAAGATTAAAAATAGAAAATAATGGTCTAGTGATTCCACTGCATGGTATTTACCCTCCCCCCAAAGAAAACACTAATTTAAAAAAAAAATATGGCCCCTTATGTTTCCTGCAGCATTATTTACAATAGCCAAGACACGGAAGCAACCCAAGTGTGCCCACTGACAGATACATGGATAAGGCACAGGGTGTACATACACACACACACACCAATATTACTCAGCCTTAAAAAAGAGGGAGATTTGTGTGTGTGTGTGACAACACGGGTGGATCCAGAAGGTACTATGCTAAGTGAAGTCAGTCAGAGAAAGGCAAATAACGTATGATTTCACTTTTTCAAAAAGTAATCTCTATACCCAACATGGGGCTTGAACTCATGACCCCAAGTTCAAAAGTCGCATGCTTTACCAAATGAGCCAGACAGGCGCCCCATATGATTTCACTTATGTATGAAATCTAAGAAAAAATGAACACACACACACACATGCACACCCCCGAGAGAAGCAGTCTCATAAATACAGAGAACAAAAAAAGTGGCTGCTAGGGGACAGGCTAGGGGATGGAAGGCATAGGTGAAGGGGTCTAGAGGTACAAACTTCTCACTGTAAGATAAGTAAGTCGTATGGAAAGTACATCCTAGAGAATATAGTCAATAATATTCTAATAACACTGTCTGGTGACAGGTGGTAGCTGCATTTATGGTGATGAGCACTGAGTAACGTATACAAGTGCTGAATCATTATGCTGTACACCTGAAATGAAGACATTGTGTGTCAACTTCAATTAAGACAAATTTTTAATTTAAAAAATAAATTAATATTAAAGTTGCTATGTATATAATTAGGAGTGGCAAAATATACAAAAATTATAAGGATAAAACGTGAGTCTAAACAGAAATGCTAGGGGCGCCTGGGTGGCTTAGTCGGTTAAGCATCCGACTTCCGCTTAGGTCATGATCTCGCGGTTCGTGGGTTTGAGCCCCGCGTCGGGCTCTGTGCTGACTGCCAGCTCAGAGCCTGGAGCCTGTTTCAGTCTGTGACTCCCTCTCTCTCTGACCCTCCCCTGCTCACGCTGTCTCTCTCTCTCTCCTAGAAATAAATAAAACATTAAAAAAAAAATTTAAATACTGTAGAAACCCTTGATTTAAAAAAAAAAAAAAAAAAAAAACAACCCAGAAATGCTATCTTTGCATCAAAATTCTCTGAACCTTGGGCAATTTCCCCACAGTGAATGTAGTTTACATGATCTTGGTCTTAAGGGACACTTAGGTGGAAATGCTTGAAAACATGGGCTCAACAGGTAAAATTCAAACACTTTGGCTGTGTCCACACAAAACCCTAGCCTAACTCCTGAAGGTGCTTACTTTCTAACCTAAGTTGCAATAACCCAAATCTCATCAAGTGCTTTCTCAAGTGTCTGTGACTTTGTACTTTTTTTGTTCTGCTGAGAATATTATTTTGTACTAGGTAAAAAAAGTGCTTTTCTGACACCTGGGTGGCTTAGTCGGTTGAGCACCTGACTGGCTCAGGGCATGATCTCACTGTTTGTGAGTTCAAGCCCCGCTTCGGGCTCTCTGCTGTCAACGCAGAGCCTGCTTCGGATCCTGTGTCTGCCTCACTCTACTCCTCCAGCCTCTCTGTCTCTCAAAAAGAAATAAACATTAAAAAAACCATTTTTTTTTAAAAGTGCTTTTCATGCCTGTGATATGATCTTCTATGATTTGCACAAATTCAAAGAATAAATTAGTGGTAGGAAAAAAAGAAGAAACGGGGCACCTGGGTGGCTCATCAGTTAAGTGTCTGACTTCAGCTCAGGTCACAATCTCGTGGACTGTGAGTTCGAGCCTCATGTCAGGCTCTGTGCTGACAGCTCAGAGCCTGGAGCCTGCTTCAGATTCTGTGTCTCTCTCTCTCTGCCCCTCCCCTGCTCATGCTCTATCTCTCCTTCAAAAATAAATAAACATCAAAAATTTTTTTATTTAAAAAAAAAAAGAAGAAGAAAAGGAAAATTCTTCTGAGGGTGAGAACCAGTTGTCAGGGGTGAAGGAACCTAGGGCCCAAACAGATCAGGTGCCCCGGCTCCCAGCTCCTGTCTAGCTCAGGCAATGAGTCCCGATGAATCCACATATGATAGGAAAGAACAGTGCAGAAGGCCGGCGGCAGAGCTCAGGGCTCGGAGGCCTGTGTGCCGGTCACTCACCGAACTGAAAATTGTAGTGGGCGAGCTGAGCACGGCGGACTCTCCGGCTGAGTGTCAGTCCCGAGTCGGCGTCCAGGTCGCACACCAGCCCTGCAGCCTGCAGCCTCTCCTGGACCTGGGGCAGAGGTTTGTGACGGGAGCGCAGGCTCAGGGGCTAGAACGGCCTGATGCCAATCTTCCCCGCGCCGTCCTCGTCTTCCGTCCTCTGCCTCAGGGCTCTCTGGTTCCAGGGGACAGTCCCTCTGCGTTCCTCCCTGCACCAAGGTCCCTCCCCAGTTTCTGGCAGGACTGTCCACCTCCTACCAGCCCCGGCTCTACCCAGTCAGCTACCTGACTCTGGCACCACCTCTGTCCTTACTTCTCTTTAGGAAGCACACCTGCAGCCACCAGTTATCTAAGCCCCGCTGTACCCCGTGCTGTGTGGTCAGCATTTAACATCTGTTAATTTGTTTAATTTTCACACAGAAGGCAAGGAACTAGCATCATTTCTCAGACTTGGAACTTTCAGCCAATATGCCAGCATCCACTCGAGCCCGGTCTTGTGGCTCCAAGGGCCAGTCCCCTTCGGCCACGCGGTGTGGCCTTTCCCCGCCCTGTGCTCAGCCCCGGACCTGCTGCCGACCCGCGTCAGTGCCTGTGCACACACCCTGGTTTCTCCTCACCTCCCGGGCGTAGTCCTCATGCTCAGTGCCCACAGGGATGACCACCACCTGGAATGGCGACAGCCACAGTGGCCTGGTTGAGAGAGGGGAGAGGAAGGCAAACTCTTGACTCCGGATCCAACTATAGCTATGCTGTGGAGAGCAGGTCCGGAGGAAGGGGGAGAGTGAGCCTAAGGGCCCAGGGTCTGGGGTGTGTGCCGGGGTCTGAGGACCAGAGCAGCAACCTGCGACCCGAGCTCTCACCATTTTCCCCCGCAGCTTTCCGCCAGTACGCCCAGCATCCTTTCCACAGAACCTAGCACTGCTCGGTGAATGAGGACGGGGCGCTCCGGGGACCCCACCGGCCTTGGAGGGAAGAAGGGAGACAGTCGGAACAGAGGAGGCATCACAAAACATGCAACTGAAACTGCTGGTTTTCACGAACGACCCCGCTCCAGCAAAGGTGCAGAGGATCTGGGTTTCGTTTCAGGGACAAAGCGAGAAGGAGATGTTGCTCTCCACCTAATCCAGCAGTGGCCAGGGAAAGAAGGGATGGGATGCGGTTCTGTACCCCTTGTACTGGAGGTCAAATCTCAGGGGCAGCTGGAAGTCCAGTTGGATTGTCCCGCACTGATGGGGCCGCCCCAGGGCATCGTGGAGGTGCACGTCAATCTGGAGGGGAGAGGCGGAGGGCGTGAGAGCGACCGGACACGGGCTCCTCTACTGCCCTCGCCGCCCGCCTCCCACTACCTGCATGCCGGGCTGTCAGAGGCTCACCACCCAGCTCTGTAGCACTCTCCCCTCCCTCACTGGGTGCCTGGCACTGGCTTTTTCCACTCCATAATGGAATTATGACCTTCGGGGACATCAACACCGACACGAACGCCGCACCCACGCCCGCCTCCGAATTCCTTGAACTCGCCATCTCCAGGCTTTTCAATCACCCGCACCCTCCGGATCCAGCCTGCGTCTTGTCACCCAGCGAGGTGACCTCTCTGGAACAGCCCACCACACACCCTGCTCTGATTACTGTCTTTCGGTTTTCTGGCTCCAACAATTATTCCTACGAATGGCTCTGTAATTTCCACGTTCTTTTTCGTTCCCACTCACAGGTCCCACCCCGCCTTTCTCTCCCCACACGGCTGGCAGCTCTCTCCCAGATTCCCATCTGTCACTGTTCTCCTGTCGCATCCCCAGGGCATGACCTCAGCCTGGCGGCACTCCGTCCCACCCCTGCCCAGCACATCTCACACCCAGCGCACACAGGGGCCTGATGCCACTGTGCAAACCCTGCTCTGAACCTCAGGTGGGCCCTGGCCGCTGGGCCGATTGGCCCGCGTCCATTTGGTGTCCTGTTCCCCTCGAGGCTTTCCAAGCTCTCTTCTGTCCCCTCCCATTTTCGCTGCCCTCACACCCGCACTAACTGGCCCCCTCCCTTCCTCCCAGCTCAGCTAATGGTCCCAGCTCACATTCTGCGGGGGAAATCGGATAATGGTATCAGGAGATGAAAAGAGTCCTAACTTCCTGTCACCTCACCTACAGACTTCCTTGCAGGTGCTTCCGGCCTTTCTCCCACCTCCGGGACAATGGCAGAGGCAGTCCTGTGGGCCCTCAACCCCAACCCCCGAGCCTCCCCCAGAACTTCCCTCTACTGAAACCCCTTCTACAACTTCAACTTCTCCCGGACTCAAACATGCTCTCTCATCAGAGCACTTCAACAGTCTTGAATTTCTCCCTTCATCAGAATTTCTTTGGACTACCCAGGCCCCTCTTGCTACTCTCCTTTGCTTTTTTAAGAGCCGAAAATTCTCAAAAGAGTTATGTTTATTTATTTACCTCTGTCCCCCACCCCAACCTCCGCTCTACCCAAAATGGTCCCTCAACGTCGAACAGCCTTTTCACGGAACCCAACAGACACTTCCAGCCCTTTTTTCCCCGGACTTCTTTCACTTCTTCCAGCTTGCCCTCAGAGTTTTTACCCTGCCTCCGCCCTCTGGCTGAACTGTTCCCGCCTGGAATCCCTCATTCCATGGCCAACAGTGACCTTTCAGGTGACAAACAGAATCCTGTAGGGGCGCCTGGGCAGCTCAGGTGTCAAGCATCTGACTTCGGCTCAGGTCATAATCTCACAGTTCATGAGTTTGAGCCCGGAGTCATGGGAGCAAGAGCCCTTCTTCACGGAAAACATGAGCCCCGGGTGAGCCCTGCTTCTCTCTCTCTGTCCCTTGCTCATTTGCACCCTCTCTCTTTCTCAGAAAAGAAAGAAAGAAAGAAAGAGAACCCTGCAGGAAGCCTTTCCTGACCCTGCTGAACGACACGCCCCCTTGGTGCCCAGGAGCATGAGGCAGCAGCCCTGGAAGGCCTACGCACCTCCCACACCCCTCACAGGGTCCTAAGTTCCACGGGGCCAGAGACGTACTGCTCTTCTTTATATCCTGTATGAGTTAAAAAACATTCCTTTGTGTCTATTAAATACCTAATAAAACCAAATAAAGAAATGAATAAATAAAAGTCTTGGCAGGGTCCCCAACTCACCTTTGGCCCATAGAAGGCACCATCTCCAGGGTTGAGGTCCCAGGGTTCTCCGAACTCTTCCAGAGCCCGCTGAAGGACCTTCAGAGGGAATGAGATGAGAAAGGAATACATCACTTGAGATTCATAAGTGATAGATCACTCCAGTCACCAACAGATTACCTGCCCAGGAGATGCTTCTGTTGAGGACCCGATTCCCATCCCCCTCCTCTTCCACCAAGACCATGGTTTATCTGCCTCTTCACCTGCTCAGCCTGGTCCCAAAGGCAAGGCTCTCCCAGGAAGCCAGATGGCCGGGTGGACAGTGCTAGGCGGAAGGAGAAGCCAAGGACGGTGTAGACAGAGTGAAGGAAATCAAGACAGCCTCGTATCTCTGTTTCAAGCTGGGGACCGAAAACCAGGGTGGTGAGTTGTGCGCTACCCAGGGTTGTGGAGCGCTGTGCGCTGTGGGGGAAACACCAGGCAAAACCACCGGGGCAAGCTGGGCTGGCCCACAGCCGGGCTGTTGTGTGTGAGGAGGGGGCCTGGGGCCAGGGACGCTGGCAGTTCACACAGAGGATGGGAGGTGGCCCAGGAGTGCTCTGCCGGGCACCAGGGAAGGGCCACCTGATCTGGGGCACAGAAGATGTGCGCGTCGTCCTGCCGGAAGCAACGCAGCCGGGTCAGCCCCCCCAGGCTGCCAGAGGCCTCGGCCCGGTGCAGGGCCCCGAAGTCCGCCAGTCGCAGGGGCAGCTCTCGCCAGGATCTGGGCCGGTGAGCGAACATCAGGCTGAGGTTGGGATGAGGGAGGGTCAGGGCCTCAGGGCAAAGAATCCCCCCGGCCCGCTCCTCCGCCTGACCTGAGTGCTGACTTCCTCTGCGCCGTCAGCACCCTATCTCCTCAGCCCTGGCCTGCCTGCCCACCAAGTCCTGCCCATCCCACTGGGCACCGCCGGAGCCCTTCCCGGCTCAGAGTGCATTTCTCGGAAAAGCGGTAGCAGGCCTCAGTTACCGTGCCCCTGGTCTGTGACGGGCACGGAGGTGAAAGAGGAACTTTGGACAGCAGCCCCAAATCCCCGATGTCACACACGGAGACCAAGGCTTAGAGAGGCACCACCAAATTCCCAAGGTTAGCCGGGGGCAGATTCAAGACCCGAATCAGGCGTCCAGGCGCTCTGGCAAGGTGCTAGTGCTTCGTGTTTGGCAAGCTGGCTGCCCGCCCCCAGCCCCGGCAGGACCCAGGCCTCGCGGCCCCAGCTCACCAGTGCGCAGGGCAGTTCATGGGCTTCAGGGCGAGCATGTCTGCAGGGCTGGTGGCGTGGTCACTCGGGGAGGGGGTGAGCCTGTCCGAGTCCGGGGGCCGCAGGGCAAACATGTCCTCCTGATAATGCTCCCAGTGCCCTGACAGCTCCCAGAGTTTCGTAGAGAACAGTGTGGGGGTTTTCACTTCTGAGAAGCCCCGGCGGGTGTACTCAGCCTGGAGAGGAGGGTGCAGACGTGGAAGGTCAGGGTGACTGGGGGAGAGGATGCTGGTGGCAGGCGTGTGACTCTCCGGGGACCGGAGGTCACACAGAGCTCAGCCACAACCTGTTAAGTACCATGCTCCCTGTGGACCTGTAGACTCCTCTGTGGACCACACATTCCCAGGACCTTGTTAAAGGTTAGCAGCACCTTATAATACTCATGCCTCTAACCCCACTCTTTTAACACCTGGCTTCTTCTGGGCCCCGATCTCCTCCCTGGTCTTCCTTCCTTTGGACTTGAGTCCCCCTTACCCTGATGAAGGCCACCAGCGCATTATACACCCTTGTCCCTCGAGGCAGGAAGAAGCAGCTCCCGGGGCTCAGCTCGTGGAAGAAGAAAAGCTCCTGTGCCTGGGTCAGGAACGGCAATGTCACTTGGAGGGAGAAGCAAGGACTTTGGGACCCAGAAGAAATCACAGATGGAGCTGCTCAGTCTGCTGGATTCGGACCTGCTCCCAGGTCCAGAGTCAGGTTCCTTGAGCACCCCTTCCTTCTCCGGGCTCTGTACCTTCCCAATGCGCCGGTGGTCCCGTAACTCCGCCTCCTCCCTCCACTCTTCCCAGGCCCTCAGCTCCTCCATCGTGGGGAAGGAGATGCCTGACACTCGCTGCACTGGCTCTGGGGCGCCCGAAGACCTCCACAGGGACGACGAGTTCTATGGGAAAACAGAGGCAGTCAAAGGACGGGCGGGGGACCGCAGGCAGCCAAGCTCTCCTTCACCGGTGCTCACCCGACACGGAGCACACACCCCACAAGCGTCCTGTCTCAGTGCTCCCTCCGTTTTCCACGGCCTCTACCAGCCCGATTCCACTGGCGCCTCGGAACCCTGCTGCGTTCACAGCCTTACAGACGTCGCACTCGTAATTCCCACTCGTGTCCTGTGTCCTGCCACAGCTGAACCGCATCTTGCCACCTCTTTTCCTCCCCATTCTCCCCCCAGCACCTCGTCCCTAGACTCAGAGCCCCCTGCTTGCACATCTAATCAATGACTACTGACAGGAGGAAACTTAGGCTCTGGTCAAATGTCAGCTGTTATTGTTGTTCTCTACCCACCCTCTTGTCACTCTCCCACATGACGCCCTATTTCTGGCCACATGAAATTGAAATGCCTCTACTTGTTCTTTCCTCAAACAATTTAACAAGAAACAGCCCACGCTGCACTTTTAACTTTTCCTCAAACACCGTCTCCTGTGTTAGCGGATTTTGTGATATGGATTTATTGGCAGGAAAGGAATTAACAACAGTCTTATTTTACAGACGGGGAAGGTGGGTCAGGAGGTTTCCCCAAGGCCACGAACTTCCCCAGTGGCAGAGCTAGGACTAAGCACAGATGGGGGGTTTCCAGTCCGGGGCTTCTGGCTGCACAGACCTGCCTCTCCCCTCGCTCACTGCTCCCATCCCGCCTAATAAATAACTCACCTGGCCCAGGAACACGATTTGCATAAACGGCATGGCCTTGACTTAGAGTAGTCTCCCTGCCCCTGTCCGGTGGTGGTCTACACACCCTCTCCATGCAGTCTCCCGTGTGACCCCTTTTCACATGCTCCCTCTCCATCTCCCTAGCACCGAGGCCCGACTTCGGATTGTGAATTGGTTTCTGAGCACTGGCAGGTGCCCAGTGGCTGTCATCACACTAGGTATTCATGGGAGGCAGGAACTAAAACGTCTTTCTCCTACTGGCTTCCTCCCTTAGCTATCAGAGGAGAGAAGGGGCTGAGAGAGACCATCTCCCACCATCTTCCTACTCCCCGGCTCGTCCCAGTGAAAACAGGAGTCTTAACCTGACCCTGGCTCACGACTAACCGTCAGCAGCTTCAGTCCTCCAATCTGTCCAGTGTGCCGAAGGTGAGGGCCCCGGCAAAGGTCCACCAGCATCCCACACCTGGGAGAGAGAAGGGAGCACTTAGCGGCATCCAAATTCTTTAGCTTCTGGAAGTTCTCTCCTGGACTCTACGAGACTGAAAACAATGTGAGAACGGTTCTGCAGAGACAGCAAGAGCCATGAAGTTATCTTCTCATTCCTTTTCTTTTTCTGCAACAACAAATTACCTTCTACCTTCCTTCCCTCATCCCATTTCTGGTCTTCTTTGGTGCATCCCCACCTCCCGGCTCCCTCCATTCTGACAGCTCTCACCCATATACTGTCGCTGTTGGACCTGTCACTTTCTCCTCAATCAGGCGAAGCTTAAAGGGGTTATCCTGGAAGGCGAGAAGAGTGAGGATAAGGCTTTATTCCCATAAAGATGTCCTGGGACAGGGGCGCCGGGGCAGCTCCGTCGGTTGAGCGTCCGACTTCGGCTCAGGTCATGATCTCCTGGTTCGCGAGTTCGAGCCCCGCATCGGGCTCTGTGCTGACAGCCGAGCCTGGAGCCTGCTTTGGACGCTGTGTCTCCCTCTCTCTCTGCCCTGCCCCTCTCTCTGCTTGTATGCTCTCTCTCAAACATAAACAAGTGTTAAAAGAAATTAAAAAAAAAAAAAAGAAAGAAAGAAAAGAAAGATGTCCTGGGAGGGAATCACCCCTTCCCTCATGCTTCTGGGCCTTCCCCCTAAATGTGTGCACCCCTCCCCACCTTGAAGAGCTGGCGAAGCTGATCCTGGGAAGCCTCTAGCCTCCGGAAGGGCTGAGCAGCAGCTGCAAGTTCCTGGCAAATCCTCTCCAAAGCAGGCAGCTCTGAGCTCCGGACTGTCCTGAAAAGGTGGGAAATGGTTGGCTCTCATCCTTTAAGAAGCAGCACCTGGGTGCCACAGCTGTCAGCTAGGGGGTGAGATCCTGCCCTCCAGAGACATCTAGAATTATTGGTGGACACAGACAAACTGACAGAAAACATAAATAGGAAATCTAAATTCACAGCAGGAGCAAGAACTCTATATATGAAATTAGAAGTTGGGTGCAGACAATATGGACAGACAAAATTAAGGCAACAGTAATGAAGGATGTAGTAAAAGTTAAGGATTCATAAAGACTAGAGAGATTTCAATCAGAATCAGACAAAACAAAAAGCATGGACTAGGGGAGAAGGGGCACCAGGGTCACAGCTGAGGCTTGGAGAACAAGCCCAACACCCCAGAAGAGGGTGCAGAAAGCACCCTGGTGAAACGGGGTATAAGACGCAGTATAAGATGAGTTAGGTTTGAGGAGACAGTGTATGGCACAGTGACTAGAGTGGGTAATTCTACACACTAGGAGTAAGATTTCCTAAGAGAAAACTGTAAGCAATAACACAAGTGAGATGACGAATGTGTTAATTAACTCAACAGTGGAAATCCTTTCACAAAGTATTCAAACACCAAATTATCAGTTTGTTCACTTTATTTTTTTATTTTTGAAAGTTTCTGGGGTGTCTGGGTGGCTCAGTCTGTTGAGTGTCCAACTTCGGCTCAGGTCATGATCTCATGGTTCATGGGTTCGAGCCCCATGTCAGGCTCTGTACTCACAGCTCAGAGCCTGGAGTCTGCTTCGGATTCTGTATCTCCCTCTCTCTCTGACCCTCCCCTGCTCATGCTGCCTCTCTCTCACTCAGAAATAAATAAAACATTAAAAAAAAAGTTTATTTAAGGGGCACCTGGGTGGCTCAGTAGGTTATGCATTTGACTTTGGCTCAGGTCATGTCACATTTGTGGGTTCAAGCTCTGCATCAGGCTCTGTGCTGACATGTCAGAGCCTGGAGCGTGTTTCGGATTCTGTGTCTCTCTCTCTGCCCCTCCTCTGCTCATGCTTTCTCTTTCTCTCTCAAAAATAAACATTTAAAGAAAAGTTTATTGACTTAAGTAATTCTCTACATCCAATATGGGGCTTGAACTCACGACCCTGAGATGAAGAGTTGCATGGTCTTTTGACGGAGCCAGCCAGGCGCCCCTCACGTTATACATGACTTTGTCAATTAAACTCTAAAAAGCTGACAAACGAAATAAAATGTGGTGAAATATCTAAAAATATTCCTTGCACGACTCACCGCTCCTTTCCCAGGAAGAAATCGTGGTAGAAGCCACATTCTGTACTGGGACCTCGGCAGAGGACAGCGCCGAGGAGCTGCTCAGCCGCTGCGCCCAGGACGTGGGTGCTGGAGTGCCAGAACACCTGGGTTCACAAGACAGGAGAGGAGTTCAGGGGAGCCTGGGGGACTCAGTCAGTAAAGTGTCAGACTTTAGCTCAGGTTATGATCTCATGGTTGGTGAGCTCGAGCCCCACGTGGGCTCTGTGCTGATAGCTCAGAGCCTGGATCCTGCTTCAGATTCTTTGTGTCCCTCTCTCTCTGCCCCTCCCCCACTCATGCTATCTCTCTCTCTCTCATAAATAAATAAAAACTTAAGGAAAAAAAAAGGAGTTCATAACCACCTCCTTTATTTTTTAGTTAATTTATTTTGAGAGAGAGTGTGTGCATGTGCTAGTGGGAAAGAGCAGAGAGAGACAGAGACAGAGAATCCCAAGCAGGCTCCACACTGTCAGCACAGAGCCGGACACAAGGGTTAATCTCACAAACCGGGAGATCGTGACATGAACTGAAACCAAGAGTTAGACGTTCCACCCACGGAGCCACCCAGGTGCCCCTCTGGTCACCATTGCAGATGAAGATGACAAAACTCTATTTTTCTGGATCCTAATAGATGAGGTCTGTATTACGAAAGCTGACATGCAGAAGATGAAGTGGGGAGGAGGCCAGCTGCGTGCTCAGTTGTGGAAGCCAAGTTAGAATTAAAACATATATGCTACAGATGACTTACCATGTAGGTCTCTAACTCCCATCATAAATTTTTAGCTTATCCAGGGTTAGTCAATACAAGCTATCTGTGGTAGGTCTCCCTCCCAATTGCAAAGGGAGAAACTGAGGCAAAAGAGATACTAGAAATATGCCCTCTTAAATATCCCGTAGTTCAGTCGTCCATGTATGCCTGAAAAGGAAGAAACTTACTGCTTTGCCCTCTGCAGAACTGAATGTCAGAAATCTGAGGTCAGAATCTGTCTCCAAAGGCCGCTCCAAATCATAAAGTTCTCCATTCACCTGAGCAGCCACTGCAGTATCTGCCAGTGTTGAACTTGGGGGTTGGGAGTGAAGCAAGCGAGGACAAAGAAAAAGACATGGTTACAATCCACAGGGAAAGAGTAGGACTAATCTCTCAACTCTCAACTTGGAAACAGGAAAAAGTGTCACCAGAACAATAAAACCTATCATGTTTTGGATATGAATGGCTAATACACAAAAGGTAGAGGCTCTGAAACTAATCCGGATAAAAATGAATCCTCAGGAAAAGGCGATCTTGATAGAGACGGAATAGCGAACAGACATAATTTTCATTCTCTGCTCAAGTCCAGCGAAATACTTGAGGGAGAAGGCTAGTCTGGGTGTAAAACGGGCCTGGTACCTGATCTGCTGGGCTAGGTGGTAAGGGGTTGTGCTCCATGCCACAGCGTCCACTGTCTGGCCTCCAGGAAGTGACACCTTAATAGTTCGGTGCTCCTTCTGTGTCAGGCTTGCTAACCTCTTTACTTGAGCCGTCCATAGCTCCTCAAAAAGGCCTAGACGCTCCGTCAACCACTGTGGAGGGGCTGGCACAGCTGCCTGGAGAGAGAGATGTTAGGAGGTAAACGGGTTCCATCGTCCCTTCCTGGAATTGAAGTTGGTAGGTGGTGTGGATACTTGGTCCTAAAGCCTAGCCCTTAAGAGGCCTGGGCGATACGGGGCCCTAGACTGGGAGCCCCACCGTCTCCTGGCTGTTGTCTCAGGGCAAAAGATGGCTGTCACTGACAGCTTAGGGTGGCCGGGTCCAGGGACTCAAGGCAGGGGAAGGTGGGTGAGTCAGGCTAGGCTGGGAACCTACACCTCGGGCCTGATCGGGCCTGATCGGGCCCGACGCGGTTCGTAACGTTTGGGTGGGTACCTCACGCACCGTGTGCAGCCCGCAGGTTTGTAGGCCCGAAAGCCAAAGCCGCCGCCACCTCTGAAACAACCCCATGCTCCTTCAAACCCCGGCCTGCATCCTTAAATTACCCTCGATTCTCCTCCGCCGGATTTCCCATAGGCTTCCGGTGCCATAATGCCCGTGCCGATTGGCCTGCACGGCTGCCACTCTGGCCGGGGACCGCCCCCAGGAACTCCACGGCGGCCCGCCCCTCTCCGCGCGAGCGGCCGTGGGAGTGGTTCCGGGGCCCGGAAGACCTAAGCTGTTACACACGCTCGCGGCCCCGAAACCGGAACGGGTTCAGCCTGTAGAGGCAAGAGCATACTCTGCAGTGCTGAGGAGAGGGGAGTGAAAACTCTTGAGAAATGAGAGGGGGAGAAAGACGGAGGGGAAAGGGTAGCTAGTCATTTCCTTTTAACCTTCGCTTTTCTTTTACATCGTCTTTACTAGCAGGTAGAAAATAGGAACCAAGGGTTAAATTCTGGATTTGCCATTCACAATGTCATTTTAGATAGATTATTTAATTTCTTCTAAACTTCGATTTTCTCATATATAAGATAATAATAGAGGTGCCTGGCTGGCTCAGTCAGTGGAGCGTGAGACTCTTGATCTTGGGTTTGTGAGTTCGAGCCCCACTTTGGGTGTAGAGATTACTTACAAATAAAAAACTAGGGACGCCGGGATCGCTCAGTCCGTTAGGCGTCCAACTCTTGATTTCTGCTCAGGTCACGATCTGTTCGTGGGCTGGAGCGTTGCTAGCGCTCTGCACTGATGGCATGGAGCCTGCTTGGGATTCTCTGTCTCTCTCTCTCTCTGCCCCTCCCTGGCTTGCACTCTGCCCCCCCCACCCCACCCCCGGCCAAAATAAACATTAAAAAAAATTTTTTTTAATCTTTTAAAAAATAGAATGGGCGTAATAGTAGTAACACTCCCAGTTGCTGAGGTTAGTTGATGGGTTACATTAGCGACAAGCTGTTAGGGAAAAAAAAAGTTGAATAGCTGTTAGGAAAAAAAAAAGTTGAATAGCTTCGGGGCGGACCAACGACTCTACAGAGGCCACTTCTTGGAACCTCTTCATGGTCCTAGTGCTTAAGAGGGACCTTAGCGACCTCTTAGTTTTACAGATGAAAGAATATAAGGTCAGAGAAAATAAGTGACTTAAGGTCAAACAGTAAGTGCAGCTGCTACATTTTGAATCCAAGTTTTACACTCTTCTACCACACCATGCTTTCTCTGACAATAGGATTTACTTCCAATATACTCCCCCATCACTTCAGAAAGAGGAACCTGACCCTAGAATTTTAGCTTTCTGTTTCCTACACAAGACCTTGCCTCTCATTCCCATCCTAGCTCTCCACTTCCTTTAATCTCTTCTCTTTCCACTCCCTGCAGTATCTGATATCTAGGACAGAGGACTAGGTATATTTACTTTCCACAGTAAAAATTGAAATATGGTCACATTTGTGGTAAAGTATGAGGGGAAATGGACTTGGGAGCAGCTGTAAGGTTCCCAGTAACTACCCTTCGGCCCCTCACCTGGGGGTAGGGATGATTAGATGGTTCTCAAGTTTCCAATGGTGATGGAATCAAGGGTTGTGGAGGAAGAGCTGTCAGAGAAAGCTGTTTAATCTAGGTTTCCAGAGGCCAAAGGTTCTTTCTGGGGAAGGCAGCAGTTGATGAGTCCCAGGCATCACTCTGGATCTCGGCTCCCTCTCCTGGTATGTTAGACACCCTGAAATACAAAAAGAAATAAGACTGTGGAACAGGAAAATTACTTGTGCGGAAGGGGTGGTGTGAAGGGCTAGGAAAAGGGGAAGAGGATTTAAAAATGGCATTCAGAACTTTTCCCATGACTTTGCACCAAAAGGGATGGGTATGTTATATTGCAGGTAACAAAATGGTAGGTGCTCAATAATTATTGAAGAATGTATCAATCACTGCATTGACTTAAAACTCCAAAGGATACATTTACTGACACATACATTCTTTGATCATTGTACCTTGTCGTCTTTCGTTAGGTAGTAGAGGGACGGTGGAATAAGTAGGCTAACGCCGTTAACAGCTTCCTGCACTCATCCCTCAAACATGTGTCTGCTGCATGCAATGCAGTGAACTGAGGGCTCATGGGCTACCCATCAATCAACGACTACATCACCTAATGTAACTTGTGTTGCAGTGGAGGAAGGAAGGAATGTCAGGAATGATTTCATTCTTCTCCTTGTTGCAAACAAGCCAGCCAGCAAGCAAGGAAGAGCAAGGTAGTTAAGACCAATGCATTAATCACCTATTCTTTTTTCAATTTCTGATTTGTGACTACCATGTCTCAGCCTCAGGGAATTTTAACCCATTAGTCTGCCTGGGAAACATCTATCCCTAAAACTGCTCTTACCTGCCACCCAGAATATCACCAAACACCTACAATGTACCAAGTGCAATGCCTTCACTATCATTTAATTCCAAGAACTCTGATAAGCAATAGCTCTTTTTATGTTCTCTTTACAAGAAAACCCTCAGAGATGTCAAGGCTCAGTCAATCTGAATCCAAAGTTTATTATGCCATGCCAGGCCACCTTTCAGCAACCAGAAGAGTCCTAATGCATTATGTTTGGTAGCAGAGCTCCCTTTTTCTCTCCAGGGTACATCACTTAGAGGGCCAAAGAAGCCTTTAATATAGAGTGGAGAGAAGGGTCCAATAAAAAGCCAAGAAAAGAACTGTCTTACCAGATTTTCTCTAACCAAAGGTAAGGTAAAAGAAGTGTTTAGGAAGTAATGCCAGCAGATTTCACATAAGTGCAGGGATAAGGCAATCCTCAGTAAAGTGTATCCTAGACCATTAATCACATTTTGGGAAAGTCTCAGCTCTACTCCACTTTTAGAATAAACACCACAGGTTAGCTAAAGCTTTTGTTGAAGAAGTATTGTATTTATAATCCTAAACTATATGTAAGAATGCTCTCCATTGAAGGTAAAGTACATTTCCACTTGTCATCAGGAACAACACATATCTTAGCTCTTCACAAAATTTCCCTGTACCCAAGAAGTAGAAAAGATACTGGAGGTAAAAAAAGAAAACTTTAAGAGGGTAAAATATATAAAGCTTTATGTCATTGTCACCAAATGCTTTCAAGGCCCAGAGAACTAGCCAAGTGGCTAAAAGTACAGCAGTAGGTGGTGTGGGGAGGTTAGATTAAAAAAAAAAAAAAAAAAAAATCCTTAGTGATGAAGATGCAGGATGGGGCCAAACTTTTTCTTTAACTTTGCTTTAAGATGCCAGAAAAAAAGGAGATAAAGTCAAGCCACATCTGCTGATAAAGAGGGGGAAACTTCCTACCAGGGCATGGGGAGGAGTTGAATGTTTTTGAAAACAAAGCCTTCACTCACCTAGAATCTTTACTAGGATTTCCCTTCCCCGAGACAACTCTTGAGTCTGTAAAAGAGAAACAAAGACAGAGCCACCTCCAAGCCCCCTCCCCCTTTAAATGGCCCTGATTTGTCAGGTAAGGTTAAGGGGAAAATATAGCAAAGTCTCCCAAACACAGGAGCCAGTGCAGGGATGTGTCAGCTTAGGTTGATGTTGAAGTAAATAACAAAGGCAAGAGCAGAGTACTCTGAAAGAAGGTCCTAGGTACATCTCTAGAAAGGCATGTACAGCTAAGCCCACTGCCCAATAATCAAGATTTCAAATTAATCCTTTACTAATCTCTGCTGCCCTTGGCGATGAGTGGGTATTTAGAAGACAGGATCTTAAGTGTTGTTTTATGTAAGTGTAAAGGATTTCTAGCCAGGGAAGGAAGAAACAAGGAACTGGATCCTGCCCATCTCTCTTCTATCCATTCCAACTGAAATACCGCAGGGAAAATGTACAAAGCTTCAAGTACAAAGCTTCAAGTTCTCTTGTCTCCTCTTTCCCACAAATTATGCGGCAAAGGGCTTAGGTAATTTGCAAAACTAAAGGAGACATAAAATGGGAATGAAGAAGGAAGTAAAATTGCTATGAATCCAACAGATCCAGGGTAGACTGGTTTAGCCAGCACTTTTGAGTCAAACAAAACCCTGCGGCCTGTATTTGTTTTTTTTCTGTTGGCACTGCTCACTAGACCCTCCACCCAGGTCTGTGTTTTCAACTTTTGACTCTAGCTACAGTGAGAACAAAAGGAAAGGGCAGAAGACAAATAATGGTACCATAACTGCAGTATCAATTCTGAAATAGATCGGTCTTGTGCCCTTCTCCTCAGACCCGCTACCTAAGCATCAAATGTTTCTTCTCTTCCCCCACCAGTTAGAAGCCATTTGGTATCTGGTTTTACATTGCACTTGCTCCTTTCCTTCAAAGCATGTGTGCGTCTCCTTACTTCTGTGGTGGGGGTTGGGGGGAGGGAGAGGGAGAACAGGATGTTTACTTAAGAGCTATCTCACTTGCGGTGAGCCTCTTGCAGCTTTGTCTATGCAGCCTCAATGAGTTATTACTCCGCAATTGTGAACAGCAGCTGACCGGACTTGCCCATACAGTTACTCATAAACAAGTATGAGAAACGCCCCAATACTCTAAAGCCCATTTGGATGATGTTTGTGTTATTGCCTACATACGTGAGCGGGTAACTCATCCCTCTTCTGCAGACTGGCTTAAATAAAGCAATTTAGGGGTTTGAAGTTGTGCATTTTCAACATGCCCAGAAAGGCAAATGTGAAGTCTAAAAGCTGTTGATTCCTTGGGGGAGGAGAAAGAAATCAATTGGGCAAGTCAAGATGCCAAGAGGGGAACAAGGAAAAGGTGAGCCAGATTCTAGAAGCAGCCAATGCAACTGTATAGGTCAGCTACACCTACTGGGTGTATTCCTAGGCTATTTCTGAAGTGTCCAGTGACAGGTGTGTAGCTTTGCGTAATGAAGGTTGCTATTTAGAGTCTTCTACCCTGCCAGTGACCCGGGTGGGGTCCAGATGTGGTGACTCTCTCTTCACCCCTTAAAGCCAACATTCCATTCATTAAGCTTCAGTGGGGTATGAAAAAGGGATGGGCCAAGAGAGGGTTAAGTGTGGCTTACGTATGACAGACTGCCAATGCGCAGCAAGAAGGGCCGATGTGGGAAAAGAATGGACCAGAAGGATCCCTACCACCACTGCCCCAACTCTAGGCTTGCTTTAAAAATATGTCTTCACTCACAATTGTACAACTTTTTGAACACATACACAGTTATCCATACAGTATATCCCACTTCATTACCAACCACTCCCTGAACATCCCCACCCATCATCCCTTTGCAAAACTGAATTGCACAGAGGATCAAACAGAAAACCCACAAAGCCATGAAGATCAGAGGCTCAGACTGCCTTCAGTAACACTGAGTGCCGGAAGTCAATGGGGACACTTGGATTAAGATCAGTGTGAGAGGGGGAAAGTCAACCACACAACAAAGGAAACTATACTTTATTAAACTGGAGAACAAAAACATAATACTGGGGACAATGAGATTTAAAAAAAAAAGAATGGCTAGAAGACAGGCAAGTGCAAGTGGTCACAAGGAAGGGACAAGACGGGTGGGCTGTGGTATCTGGGCACCTCAAATGTGCAGACGCACACCCCGTCCCCTCGAGCCCCCTTGCACTTCTACCAAAAGCCAATACAATCAGATCTTCAGAGATGTGTCCTGGCCTTCTTCCTGCAGCCCGTAGCCGGCTTCACCTTCAGCCCTGGACAGTCATGTAGGGTCTTTGCTGGAGAAAACAGATTTTCCAACCATAGGTCTGCTCCACAAAGCAGCAGTTTCAGCTCCCGAAGAAGTTTTCTCTCCTAGTTGTGCTCACCACAGAAGCCAGGAGCCCTTGGTCAAAGCCCGAAATCTCAAAGAAAAATGTCAAACCTTCAGAACTAGTTATTTTATTAAATGATATTAATACACATTTCAAAAGGATTTCATTGTTGTTGCCTCTAAAGCATGTACTTTTGTTTTCCACACTGAACACGTGAGAATATCATTCAACATATCTAATTTAATCTTAACAGGCACCCCCGCTCATTTGAAAAAGGGGAGGGAGGAAAAAAAAGGGGGGGGGGGAGGAAGCAGTATCTTACAGCGGCTTCAAAACAATTAACAGCTGAAGCTTAATTCTGCATGACCCGGTAACTTCAGGATTGATGGTGAATATTCTGCAATTAGGAAGTTTAGCATATTCACATTATCCAGATAGGTTAGCTGTACCATATGTATCACAAACATTGTATTCCTGGGATCGTAAAGGATAAAAGTCCTACTCTCTGATCTTTTTACCCTCCCTGGCATCAAATCAAAATCCGTTTATGCTCACCTTTTGGGAGGGCAGAGGGAAACCTGGAGAGGGGCTGTCACCTAGGCTGACTGGAGAGTAATCTCTCAGTCCCTCAGGACTCGATTTCTGATACTGTCACTGAGTTTTAAGCAGTACCAGTGTATTCACAACCCCCCACCAATTCTCTGTCTGTGATTTTACAGTGAGCACCAAGGACCAAAGTAACAACTTTGTATATTCTGCTTTCATAGAAATCATGTCCTTGCCAAGACACACTATGTTATGCTTTCTTTAAAAAAAATCTTGTTTATTATATTTTTAAACTCAGGTTGAAATACAAAAGTCAGAGCATGGGCACGGAGTTTTAAATCACAGACACAGAAAGAATAAAACCCCTTTGTTTCATGTTATGAATACCAGAATTGTCTTTTTTGTTTCACTATATCACATATATACATTGTCGTCTTCATTTACTGCTGTAGACAGATTTCCTTAAAGTTAACAGCTGACAGTCACATACAAATCCTCATTTCCATCCTGAAACACTCAATGAGGATTTTGTAGCTTAAAAAACAAAACACCCCCACAAAAGAGCCCCACCCTTCAAAGTCCATCTTTTACACTGTACAACAAGGTCTTCCTTTCATGTATTAGTCATCATGCTTTTGTGGACAATTACCCTGCCCCAACATTTGGGAAGCCACTTTCCTGACATCCCCACATTTTCTGATAAAATCAAATGGTCAGAGAGCCTTTTCAAGTAAACGCTACTTTTAGCTTAAACAAGAGCAGCAGCAAGAATTCACATTCTTTTACTCTAGAATGAAAAACATCCCACTTAATTTCTGCAAATAAAAAAAAATCAATTTCAGTTTTGAGTCAATTAAAACTCTCCTTTCCCCTCCCCCACCCCTCCCCTTCCTCTTGCTCACACTTTTCCCTTACACAAATGTCTCAGGACTCAACGTAACTATATTGTTTCTTTGCTTTGCTACACTATATACCCCAGCCCACACACAAGGTCACGGCATCATACATTTTTGTGGGGGAGAGCTACAGGGCAGAATGTTTCGAGAGGGTCAAAGACAGAACAGGCTGGTTTCAGACCAGAAATGCATCAGGGAGATGAAGGACTTGCAGCCTCCTAACCACAGAACACATGGTAAGCCCTAATAAATAACATGGAATAAGTTACACAAGAATTCCCGAACTGTGACGCACACCTGGTTCAAGCTGCTCTTGATCTGAAAAGCACGTTTATGCTGACACAAAGAATCCTCTCTGTCACTATGTTGTCCATCTCCCCCTCTTTAGTATTTCGCTAGAGGAATCCAAAGCAATCCCTATACTTCCTGCAGCTCTATACTCACTTGGAAGAAAATATGAAACTTCCTAGGATCCCCTAAAAAAAGAACACATATTGTTTTACTCATCTAGTTGGATGTTACCAGTGTGTATATGTTGGGGTAAGACACTAAATAATATAAAATAATAGCAAAGCAGTATTTGCTTTTCAGTGTTCCTTGATATAAAGTTATAAACACTCAAAGTGTACGGATTGTCTTTTTTCCCCAGTACTAGTTGCGGAAATATAAAGAAGCCTTTCAGTTTGGGGAGAAGGAAAGCCTGCCATTCTCGGGTAAAATGACTAAGGGCAGAAACATTCTTTATTTCCTGGAGGGAGTGGAAGGTGAGGATAAGGCTTGAGCCTTGAAATGTGACAGGCTGCTAGCTGTAGAATGGGGTAAATTTGGATTCTCAGGCCCTCCTGGTTCTCTGTAAAGAGATGTATACCCACTTGTCACTAAAACACTCCTGAAAAGGAATAATGTATGCAAAGATGCTATTCAACCCCCTTCTTGGAAATACCAAGAATGGGGGTAAATACAGGACTAGGGCAAGGAGGAAAGAAAGATACAGGCCAATAGTCCCCTTTCCCTGCTACTTCACCTTTGCTGAAAACCATCAACAAGTATCACTTACATGTGGGAGGCACCATGGTAAAAATGTCTACCTCTTACATTAAAAAATTCAGGAATAAGATTTCAGTTGCGCCTTTATAACAATTGTCAACTGTAGTGACTTTTCTTCCTGACCAAAGCAGACGTGAAAACTGAGAGAAAAAGTCGATCAAGAAAGAAAAGCAGGAAGCATGGGCACGGTGCAGGACACGCCAAACTACAAAAGTCTCCCATCCTTGTTCATGAGCGATGGGCAGGTCACACGGCACCATTAATGGTTCCTTTCTCTAACTCCACATTGGAATCACCTTCTTTTAACCCGGAGATTATCTTTAACCCCTTCTCTTTCATTCCAAGGATGAAGAGGAATAATGTTTACTAGTATAGAAGGACACCTGTATCTCCGCAAAGTTAATGACAGTTCTTTAGAATAGGCTTAAAAAAAAAAAAAAAAAAAAGATTTTAGGAGAAAGGTAAAGAACCCAACTTCAATAGGTCTTTAAAAACAAAACAGACCAAACTTGAAAGGTCCACAGCCTCCCACCTATTTCCCTCTGTGACATCTCTCGGCTTGTCAGCAGGGCACAGAGCATACAGGAAAGAGAGCCAAGCTGGTCTTCATAGTTGCTCAACGGGAGAGAGAGGGGGACAGGAATCCTCCCATTGACTACCTGATAAGCCAAGCCCAAATAACATCCCAACATTGCACATTATTCTCTGTACTGATGGAAGTTTTATTTCAAATGTAATACTCTTCAGTAAATAGGGTAAGGTAAGACTTGTTTTCCTCCCCACCCCTCAAACCCCCAGCCAAATGGAGTGGCTTTGGTTGTGTTTCTTTGCCCCCCACCCTCTATAAAATACAAGTAGCCTGGGTAAGTGCGGTGGAAGAGTGGACTGGATGGGATAGTGAAATGCAAGCATGTATGACTTTTTAATTTGGAAAGGAGGCCCTTTGTCATTAAAAAATAATAAATCAAAGGAAGGAAAACAAATAAAAACAATAATAAACCAAACTCCTACTTCCAATGCTCTCTAGACTGTCCAAAATGCTTTTCCCTTGGTTTCCATCAGTACCTGGGAGGGAAGAATGGGCGTTTTGGTGCAAAGAACGGAGGGCCCCTAGCAAACGGTGGCCTGGGTCTCTTTAGACTGTGGAATGGGTCTCTGCTGAGAAAAGGTTCCCTAGGCCGAAAGTCTGGCCGGGGATTCCGCAAAATCATACCACTCCGGTTGATGGCGTCGCGGTGTGAGGGACCCAGGTGGGGGCCACTGCTGCTGTTGCTGCCCCCCCCACCTCCTCCTCCATGGGCTGGGCCCAGGTGCTCCAGAGAATGGGAGGGTAGGCTGAGGCTCTCTCGTACACGGCTAAGGCCAGGGCCGTTGAGGTCCCGTTGGGTGGGGCCCCCATGGTCCCTGGGTCCTGGGAGCACCCCAAAATGCTCAGCCAGGGTCCCTTGAAGAAGGGAACTATGGTCCTTGGGAAACACTGCCACAGCCCCCGCCACTCCGTGCTCTGCCAGTGGTGGGGCTGGGAAGGGCACGACCCCAGAGTGGTCAACGGGGGGTGGAGGAGGAGGTGGAGCAGAAAAGGGACCACCACTCCCACCACTGCCGCTATGTTCCCCAGGGGGGGGAGGAGGGGGTGGGGCGGGGAAAGGAACTCCGCTGTGCTCTCCCGGAGGAGGGGGTGGGGCAGCATGGGCCAGGGCCGCCTCTTTTGTGAAGGGGTTCGAAAGATCCACAGTGGGTAGATGAGTGGGTGCCTCTCGAGAGAAGATACCACCGTGATCCTTAGGAGGGGCAGGCGGGGCAGGCGATGGCCCCACTGGCTCTCTCTGGAAGGGTGTCCCATGTTCCAAGGGGGATGGGGGGAGATGATGCTCAAATGTTGAGTTGAAACTGTTGGAACGGAAGCTGCCGACACTTTCCTGAAATGGGGGTGCCCGTTCCTTGTACGGTGCCGCTTTAAAGCCAGTGAGGCCTCCGCTGCCCCCACCCCCAAGGGACGCCAACTCAGAGGCACTGGTGGGGCCATTGTCAAAGGAGCTGCCTGAGGTGCTCAGATCAAACCAACCCACCCTGGAAGCCTCGCGCCCGTGTCCTCTATTTCCCTTCCCAGGAACTCGGACGGACTCTACGGTCTGTATCGGCTCCCCCGACATCCTCCTATTGGACGCATTATGATAACCCAAGGTTTCTATGGGGGCCCCCTTCTCTTCAGTGCTGTCAGGCAAGTCTAAGCAGGAGGAGGACACTCGGGTTTCTATGCGGTAGTGCTCTTCTTGCTGCTGCTGCTGCTCAGTGGCCGTCAGGCTGGGCTGGGCGAGGTTTGGGAGACCGACACCATCACCTGAAGTGCCCTTGCTGGGGGCCTGGCCAAAATGCTTATCGTCTGAGGGCTTTCGTGAGGCATTTTTAAGCATATTCTTAAACTCAATCGTCGACGTGGTGGAAATGGTGGGGGCCAGGACTTTCTCCACGCCTGGTGTGGGTGGGTGGCCCGTGGGAGCAGCAAGGGTATTCTGCGGAGAGAAAAGGGAACGATGTGGGACTGGGTGAGGAGGGTCTGGGTACTGCTTCTGTGGCAACCCGAGGTGGCCAGTGGTAGACTGAGACAAGCTATTGTGGTTGGAGTCAGGGGTGAAAAATGAATCATTCTTACTCGGTGACGGTGACCGGTCAGACCCCGGTTCACTCCCTCTTATGCTGAAGGCACCAAAGAGCCCGGGGGAAGAGGAGAGACGGTCACAATTCTCACTAGAGTCCAGGAGGGCCCTTACAGATGGAGGGAAGGCAGACTTTACCCCGCATTCTTGGGCCCTGTGGCTATAGCTGGAGAGAATCGGCTGGTATCCGGTGGTATCAGAGAGCTTGCTTGCCTTCAGGATAGACTTGGATGGCTTCTTCTCTAGGTTCATCATGGCACACGGTGGAGGCCCTGAGTATTCAAAATCGCGGTAATCCTCATCTTCCTGGAAAGAAGTATCCGGATAGAACTTCTCCTGTGAAGAGTCCATCAGGGAAGATGGTCTCTCCATTCCATCCGAAGGCTGCTTATAGGGTGAATCACTGCCCAGGCCAAAAGGTCGATACACAGACACAGAATTGGAGAGCTCCCGGGGGTAGCTTTCCTCTCGCCCAGAGGGGGGCGATCTTGTACTGCTGGGTGTCGAGGACCCAGGGCTAATGATCTTAGAAAGCAGGGACATGGTATCCACACTGCTGGATGTGGGCTTGTCCATCATCTCATCCTGGGTGGGCGTCCCACTCCGTTCGTCCCGCACAGGGGTTCCGTCAATGTTGTCGACTGACGTGCTGGTAGGGCCGCGCTGGAAGTCTGAGGGGTGGCTTTCTGCGGGGGCACTGGAGCCCAAGCTGCTCAGGATAGGGATGTTTAAGTTTAAGCCACTGAAACCAGGATTACCTTTTAAGAAGTTGTGGATCTTCATTTCCAGGCTTGGAGAGGTGGACTCAGACTCCAGCTTTGGCTTGGACATCTCTGAAGATTGGCACATGGCAACTTCAGCAGGTGGGGCGGCAGGGCTCGTACTGTGGGTTCCTGTAAACCCCATAGAGTTGGATGGTAGCTTAAAAGTAGTGCTTGGGAGCCCTGGGCTTTGCCCCATTGAGGCCTTGCTAGCTGATGTAGAAGAGACTTCGGAAGCGGATGAATTAGGAGAATAGTTGAAGCTTTTAGGAATGAAGGATTGGGTACTGGAGGACAGACTTCTTCCTTTTATGCTGGAGACAGTGGTGGTGGCAGGGGAAGCGGGCGTGCTCTGGGACGCAGCCTCACTGGCTGGGACTGGGTTCCCAGTAACGCTCTGAAGTAAAGATGACAGGCCTGCAGAAACAGAGATTAGAGGAGTTACAAAGAACAACTGCCTGCCTTCCAATAAAAACACTGTAGGCCCATCGGGTATTCTCATTCATTCCAGCGGGGACCAGACAGGCGTTGAAGTATGAGGCCAAAGGGAATCCAGACCAAACAAGCAACGGCTAAATGTCATAGAAAATACTGGACCTATTTCTCAATATAAAGAGAGCAAATTACTGAAATGTTTCTAGCACAGTCATCAAACAAGTCCAACATGGCACAATAAAAGGCAACAGGAAAGGGGAGATTTTAGTGTCAGAATCATTCATAGTTTCAACAAGACAAAGCGGGAAAAGAAAGGAGGCAAAATCATCCGTAAAATAACACTTTAAGCCAGTATTTCTTAATGTTTGATCTGTGGAACTGTTTCTCTAAATGCAAACAGATATTCCTTTCTAGCCTCCACAACTGTTTCTAGTAAGTTAATGAACACTGTTATTCTCAAGAGAGAGATCGCATATGCACAATGCTGAAATTTATTTGAACAAGACACTTTTTTCAAACATCTCCTGCTAGACTCTGGGGCAACCATGGTTTAGCTAACATTTTTTAGTTGTAAAATGTAGCAACAGTAAACATACAAACACACACCACAAAGACTTACAAAGCTAGATCATCTTATAGCTTGGAAAATTCAAGAATTATTCATCTACCCAAGCTGACACTGATGAGATTCAACCCTACTCACTGATAGACAAAACCTCAGAAGCTCTAAGAAAGAATTCTCTGGGGCAAACGCTGAAGTCCACCAAAGCAAACTGCTCCTGTAGAAAATTCTCATTAGAAAAATACTTGACAAAGAGATAATAGGAGGCCCTATAAATTCAATCAGATTTTAGAAAATTTACCCAATTTCTGGTCATAAATGAAAACCTTTTGTGCATACTTCACCCAAATGTATAGCTTTTAGTCGTACACTAAAACTGTTCCTTCATAATGGTGTGATGAAAGAAAATAGTATTTCATATGGTACTTAACGTTTCTTCAAAATTTCAATTTTAATACATATTTACTAAGAGACTTAAGCTCTGAAGAATTCTGAGGTTGCTCCATCCTTGGGACATTTGTAACTGCCATCTACTTCTATATAATGGCTTATGATTTTTATGGCTATCCAATATTCACTAATATCTGAATAATTCAAATAATATTTCAATTTTCCTCCTGGGGAAAACAAAACAAAACAAAACATGTTTCATTTCCAAAAAGTTCTCTGGTTATAGAACTTTCCCCTTATAACAGTTTGCTTTAATTTTAGCAGCCACTGTTCATACCAAAATCAGAAGTTTTGGTAGAATATATGATGTCATGATTTTTAAAGAGATATTTCAGCAGATCTTTCAGATACTTCCAAAAGATCACCTTGTTAAGCCAGACATTACTCAGATTTCTGATAATAGGTGAGAGTCTCTTACCATTAAATATTTTTCTTCAATCTTTTTATATTTAAATTTACTTATTTCAGAGAGAGCGAGAGTGAGCACGCTGTCGGCACAGAGCCTGACTCGTGAGGTCATGACCTGAGCTGAAATCCAGAGTGAGACGCTTAACCAACTGAGCCACCCGTGCGCCCCTGACTTTCTTCAATCCTACCAGGCCATACTCCATGGGACCTTTTGCCCACTGAAGTCATTCTTTTGTGTTGAAAATCTGTCACTAGTGGCTGTGGGTGACACAATCAGATTCCTGAGAGTCTCTGCAGGTGTTTAAAAATGCTTCTATTTAAGTTGTTAGACAAAGGTTTTTCTTTTTAAGTCAAGAATTCCACTTTCTACAAGGAAATGATGAAGTACCCAGTTACTCCACAAAGATGGTTTTCTGGGGTCCCCAGAAACCAATTCTGTTAGAACACCTAGCTCTGTTCACATTCTGCCTGATGAGAAAGCCCACATGCCGTGGGTGCAATCACCTACTGAAAGAAAAAGCTGTAAGTATTATTAACATCCCCTGGAGGCTCCTGGTTGAGAACTCTGATACAGAGTTAAATTGCTATACTGAAGATACCGCTCTGGTATTTGTAATTCATCGCATTAATTATACCGAGGTGCTAAATAAAGATTGTGTTGGTGTCTGGAGGTTTTGAGAAGAGAGAGTAGGTAAGTTTTATGAAAAAAATGTTAGAAGCAGTTTTAGACACAACACAGATAATTAACACAGTTGAACAGAGAGGCTGAAATGAGCTAGAGATTACAGGTATAGAGATGTGCTATGCCTACAAACAGAGGCCTCCAGAGTAAGACCTAAAAAAAGAAAACCATGTCTCATAGGAGTTTTGAGAGTAGACTGACCTTTCCTACCGTCTGGAGCTTTGGTTAACATTAGAAATGTAAGCCTCCACATGCACTAACCAGTACTAAGAGCCGGAACAAATGCGGCCCCGGGAGGGCTCCTGGCGTAGGGGAGGAGTCCTGGAGTCCAGGCAAAAAATCTGGCTTTTGGTCTCAACTCATCACTGACTAGATAAATTCGGACCTGAAGCAGGTCGCCTCAACCCACTGAGCCTTACTCTCCTCACCTGAAAAGGAGCGGATTAGATTAGATGGTATTTTGTCTCTTTCAGATTTGACATTTTATAATTCTATGAACGCCAACTTGTAGATGAGAAACACCGAGAAGATAATGAATTGGCTATATGATACATGTCATAGCTACAGATTCTTCAGAATTGGAACCCAGAATTAAGCCAGAGACAGACACTCACAACACGATCCCCTGGCACACGTCTGCCTACCTTGCAGTGCAGGGGCTGACTGCGTCTGCGTTTTGGAAAGAGCAGACAGAATGCTCTCTGGGGTGATCTCCACCTTTGAGAGTATATTTGCCAGAGGGTTGTGAGCCGGCGTTGGGGCAGGCGCAGGTGTTTTCAGGCCGCTGCTGAGGTTGCTGGGGCTTGTAGGAGTTCCTGGAGAAGGTCTTGATGCAGGACTGACCCCTAGTGGCAGAAAGATTAACTCAACAAAATGCGATTCAAATCGACCATTGCATTCACCATACTTTCCACTCACTCAAAGGAGTTTGGTATGTTTAACAACAGAAAGGCTTCTGTGACGGGATCCACAAACAGAGCATATCATGGCTCGGACAAAGGAAAAAATATGAAAATTAGGTTAAAATCCATTCCTGTCTACTTGGAACACCTCTGGGGTAAATAAGTATTAAGGTGTTTTTTTAGATTTTTTAGTTTTGAGAGCCAAAAGACTTAAGGAACCTACTTTTTTCTCTACCAAATGGAATCTACACCACAGAGTCTTATAGGTGTTCAATAAATACTATTGGCTCACTACGATCAACTGTATATATAATTGTATATATAACTCAACCCACTGCATAATTCTATGTGATTAATACATCATTTACTTTTGAAATGGTCTTTAAAATAGATTATATAAGCAACTTCCTTCACATCTTTACATTTTATTTATTTTTATTTTATTTATTTAAAAAATGTTTTTAAATGTTTTATTTATTTCTGAATGAGAGAGCGAGCGAGCGTGAGCAGGGGAGGGTCAGAGAGAGAGGGAGACACAAAATCCGAAACAGACTCCAGGCTCTGAGCTGGCTGTCAGCACAGAGCCCGACGCAGGGCCCGAACCCATGAACCGTCAGATCATGACCTGAGCTGAAGTGAGACGCTCAACCGACTGAACCACCCAGGCGCCCAATATTTATTTATTTTTTAAAGCAAGCTCCATGCCCAACATGGGGCTTGAACTCATGACCCTGAGGTCAAGAGTCCCATGCTCTGTGAACTGAGCCAGCCAGGTGCTCCCACATCTTTATATTTTATTTAAAACACTTTGCTAATTTTTAGTTCAGAAAAAAAGTATATAATAAAAATAAGAGAAAATTCTTGAATGACAAAAAATATGAATAGGTAGGATATTTCACAAAGAAAAATAAAAATGAAAAAAGTTTTACCCACACTGTTAATTTAAAAAAAAGGAAATTAAAACAAATTATTATTATTTTTAGTAATCTCTATATTCAACGTGGGACTTCAACTCACAAGCCTGAGATGAAGAGTTGCATGCTTGAGGCACCATGCTTGATTTAGTCGGTGGGGTGTGCAACTCTTGATCTCAGGGTTGTGGGTTTGAGCCCCATGTTGGATGTAGAGATTACTTAAAAAAAATTTTTTTTAATGTTTTATTTATTTCTAAGAGACAGAGAGAGACAGCATGAGCAAGGGAGGGTCAGAGAGACAGGGAGATACAGAATCTGAAACAGGCTCCAGGCTCTGAGCTAGCTGTCAGCACAGAGCCTGATGCGGGGCTCAAACCCATGGACCGTGAGATCATGACCTGAGCCGAAGTCGGACGCTTAACTGATCGAGCCACCCAGGTGCCCCTCTACTTGAGTTTATTTTCACTAAAATTCCTATGAAGAAAAAGCCCTATATACTCATCAACCATTTAGGAAGGGTTGTGCATAGATTTTAGCATCAAGGTTGTTCATTAGAGTATTCCTTAAAACAGTGAAAAACTGCAAACATACCAGATGTCTAATTATTATAGAGTTAAATTCATATATAATATGCTTCAATTATTCAAAGAAAAACTATTAGAAATATGTAATCTACCAAAACTTTCACACGCGCTCTCTCTCTCTCTCTCACACACACACACACACACACACGTAAGGTTAGACACACCTGGTGTCTTTCAGGGTAGAAGGACTGCAGATATTCATTTTAATCCCTTATTTTCTTATTTTTCTATAATGACTATGTATTGGTTTTATTTTTCAATTTAAAAAGTCACTGTTAATTTAAGAAAAAAATCAACAACAACCTCAGACTGATGGTTCACTTGGAAAGATAAAAATAAGCCTTTTAGCTTCTCTGTGGGGCTTACTTACCAGTATTTTTCATGACTGATGTCAGGCTGCTAAGGATGGAACTGATCTTTGCCAGGTCCACATTAGCCAGGTTTGGCAAAGCCAATGCTGGAGAAGGGGACAGAAGAGAAGTATTCACAGGCTTCGGAAGAGGTGGCGTTGCTGTCATGGTCACAGGCACTGGGGTACATGAAGAGGCCTTTGAGACACTTTCTGTTGGCTTCGCAGGTGCAGCAGTGGATGCGGCTGACTTCTCCACAGGTTTCTCCTTCCTGTCCTCTACTGTGTAAAGAAAAGAGGTGAGACTACATTACTGCCTTCCAGACTTGACCTCCTGTATGAAACATGTCCTAGTATTTGCTGATTTGGGAGTATCAAGCACGATGCTTTAGAGAAAAATCATTCACTCCCTTCACGCTTTTAATATAAGTCCTGCTCTTTATGTTCCTCCTCACCTTCAATACATGCTTAAAATAAGTTTCCCAAATTCATTTTCTATCTGTTCAAAGATTTCTTTGCATTTTCTTAGTATTTGTGTATTAAATTTGTACATTTCTGGGTTCCTGTTATTTGGTACACATGTGTTCTTTTAGTTACAATATTTATAGTCATAAATTATCCTGTCTTTTCTTCTCCATAAACCTGAGAGCTTTCTAAGACATAGAAACTTATGCATTAAATCCAACAAAACTCCAACTGCCTAATAAGAATAATTTTATAAAAGCCAGGATGTCAGAGAAACAATGCCCGAATCCAGGTTGTTTGTATGCATGTGTATACATGTTGGTTACTATGTATTTAATCTCCACACCCAACAGGGAGCTGGAACTCCTGACCTCAAGATCAAGAGTCACATGCTCTTCTGACTGAGCCAGCCAGGTGCCCGAGAGCCTGGGAGACTTTTCACTCAGTGTGGAGCTTGAACTCACCACCCCCAAGGTCAAGAGACACATGCCTACTGACAGAGCCAGCCAGGTGCCCCCAGGTTAATTTTGAAATTGTGGTTAATGGGGGCGCCTGGGTGGCTTAGTCGGTTAAGCGTCCGACTTTTGCTTAGGTCATGATCTCGCGGTTCGTGGGTTGGAGCCCCGCGTCGGGCTCTGTGCTGACTGCCAGCTCAGAGCCTGGAGCCTATTTCAGAGTCTGTGTCTCCCTCTCTCTCTGACCCTCCTCTGCTCACGCTGTCTCTCTCTCTCCTAGAAATAAATAAAAAATATTAAAAAAAAGAAAGGAAAGAAAGGAAGGAAGGAAGGAAGGAAGGAAGGAAGGAAGGAAGGAAGGAAAGAAAGAAAGAAAGAAAGAAAGAAAGAAAGAAAGAGAAAGAAAGAGAAAGAAAGAAAGAAAGAAAGAAAGAGAAAGAAAGAAAGAAAGAAAGAAAGAAAGAAAGAAAGAAAGAAAGAAAGAAAGAAAGAAAGAAAGAAAGAAAGAAAGAAAGAAAGAAAAATTGTGGTTAATGAACTGTAGCTTTGGAATCTTGGAAGGTCAAGAGTATAAGTGCCCCTCTTTCTACCACAGTGCTGTTCAACAGAATGTAATTCAAGCCACACATGTGAATTTAACTTTTCTAGTGGCCACATTAGGAAAAAAGAGTAGGGGGTGTTGGGGTGGCTCAGTCGGTTAAGCGTCTGACTCTTAAGATTTCAGGTCAGGTCATGATCTCACAGTTTGTGAGTTCAAGCCCTCCACTGAGCTCGAAGCCTGCTGGGGATTCTTTCTCCCTCTCCCTTCCTTCCTCTCTCCCTCTCTCCCCCTCTCTCCCGCAAAATAAACATAAATAGACTTAAAACAGTTAAAATTAACTGTAATTATGTATTTTACCTAAGTATCTCTCAAATATTTTCATTTCAATACACTGTAAATATAAAGATTATTGAGATATTTTCACTTTTTTGGGTCCTAAGTAGTCTGGTCCCAGAATCCAGTGTGTATCTTTTATTTTAAAAAAATATTTATTTATTTTTAAGGGGGAAGGGCGGGAGTAGGGGTGGACAGAGAATCCAAAGCAGGCTCCACACTGACAGCAGAGAGCCCAAAGCAGGGCTCAAACCCATGAACCATGAGATCATGATCCGAGCTGAAGTTGGACGCTTAACCAACCGAGCCACCCAGGCACCCCAGTATATATCTTTATTTTTACTATTATTATTAAAAAATTTTTTTTCTATTTATTTATTTTGAGAGAGAGAGAGACAGCATGAACAGGGGAGGCACAGAAAGAGAGGGAGAGAGAGAAGCCCAAACAGGCTCTGCACTAAGTGCAGAGCCCGATGCAGGACTTAAACACACAGAAATGGTGAGATCGTGACCCGAGTTGAAACCAAGAGTCGGATGCTTAACTGACTGAGCCACCCAGGTGCCAACCCCTCACTGGCAGTATGTATCTTTAAATTAGAGCACAACTCAAGCTGGATAAACCACACTTCAAATGCTCAACAGCCACAAATATTTAGTGGCTATATGAACAGAACCGATCTTGAGCAATGATTCTTAGCTCATGTGGCATACCAAATCCTGAACCAGGATAAAGATACCTTGCTGTTTTAATCTAATCTTGCTGCTCGCAAAACACATAAGGAACAAGGTGCCCATTAATCACATAAGGACATACCAATGATTTTTGACCCATCATCTTCCACATCTGAGAGTTCCATGTCTTCCACATCACGATTATCTGTCACAGGCTCTGGTGTGGCAGACTTCTCACTCTCCATGGCTGGCGACTGGGATTCCTCACCTCCCATTCCCTGAAAAGGAGACTCAGAACCAGTTGGAGAAGGAGCATCCATGCTTGGGGAAGGGACTGGTGATTCTTCAGGATCAGGAAGGGTTGACTTCAACTGATCCAGCTTCTTCTTCAAATTGTTCACTCGATTAGCAAAGGTCTTGTATGCCTAAAAGAGAAAAAGAAGAGTTATTCCTCTGAGAAAAGGACTAAGGTACTACCATTTTGACTCTGACCATATTTCCTCATTATTATTAACTTAGCACTGGTACAAAACAAACAAACAAACCAGGGGCACCTGGGTTGCTTAGTCAGTTAAGTGTTTGATGTCTCAGGTCACAATCTCACAGTTCAGGAGTTTGAGCCCCACATCCAGCTCTCTGCTGTCAGCACAGAGCCCGCTTGGAATCTTTTGTACCCCTTTCTCTTTACCCCTCTCCTAGCCACACGAATATGCTCTCTCTCTCAAAAATAAACATTAAAAAACCCCAAATCTGTCAAGCATAGAGTAGTTTCCAATCTCTGCTTTTTTCCCTAAATGAATATTTCCATCCATGTAGCTGCCCAAGCTAGAAACATAGAGGCTACCTGTACTTAATCTTCCCTTGCTCTTTTCTATACATCTTCCCAAACCAGTATTTATGGAGAGCCTAAATGTGCTGGCCAATCTTTTAGGTACTGGAGATACAGCAATGACTAAGATGACAGACAAAAATCAAGTCCATAAAGTATAGCCTGGGAAGTCAAACAGTATGCACTTTATTTATTCATTCATTTGTTCATTCATTTATTTATTTAACATTTTTACTTATTATTGACAGAGCATGAGCATGGAAGGGGCAGAGAGAGGAGGAGACACAGAATCTGAAGCAAGCTCCAGGCTCTGAGCGGTCAGCACAGAGCCCAGTGCAGGGCTCGAACTCAAACTGTGAGATCATGACCCGAGCTGAAGTCAGATGCTTAACCGACTGAGCCACCCAGGCACCCCAGTATGGACGTTTTAAAGAAATAAACTTTTGAGGGGCACCTGGGGACTTAGTTGGTAATGTATCCACTTTCGGCTCAGGTCATGATCTCACAGTTTGTGGGTTTGAGCCCCGCATTGGGCTCTGTGCCGACAGCTCAGAGCCTGGAGTCTGCTTCGGATTCTGTGTCTCCCTCTCTGAACTTCCCCTGCTCATGTTATCTCTGTCTCTCAGAAATAAATTAAAACAAAAAAATTAAAAGAAAAATAAAATAAAATAAAACAAAACAAAACCGTTTTAGGTATAAAAAATTACTGTAAAGATTATACAGAGCATTCCCAATTTTCCCTTTTATTAACCTCTAACATTATTATGATACATTTGCCACAATTAATGAACCAATTTTGGTAATTATTTATTAACTGAAGTCCATATACTTCATGCAGATTTCCTTCAAAAATTTTTAAAATGTTTATTTTTGAGAGAGAGAGACAGAGACAGAGACAGAGGATGAGTGGGGGATGGGGGGAAAGAGAGCAGGGAGAGACAGAATCCAAAGATTCTAGATTCCCTCTAGAGAGGGAGACACAGAATCTGAAGCAGGCTCCAGGCTCTGAGCTGTCAGCACAGAGCCCAGGGTGAGACTGGAACTCACGAACCGTGAGATCAAGACCCGAGCTGAAGTCAGACACTTAACCAACTGAGCCACCCAGGCGCCCCTACTCAGTTTTTTCTATTCCAAGATTCCATGCAGGCTACCACAGTGCATTTAGTAGTCACGTCTTCTTAGGCTTCTCTGTAAGCTTGTTAGATTTTCCTTGTTTTGATGACCTTGGCAGTTTTCAGGAGTACTGGTTAGGTATTTTGTAGACTGTCCCTCAAATGAGATTTACCTCATGTTTTTCTTCTGATTAGACTCGGGTTGGGGCGACTGGGTGGCTCAGTTGGTTAAGCCTCCAACTTCAGCTCAGGTCATGATCTCACGGTTGGTGGGTTTGGGCCCCGCGTCGGGCTCTGTACTGACAGCCAGCTCAGAGCCTGTTTCGGACTCTGTGTCTCTCTCTCTCTCTCTGACCCTCCCCTGTTCACACTGTCTCTCTCTCTCTCTCTCACTCTCAGAAATAAATAAAATAAATAAATAAATAAAAATAGACTGGGGTTATAGGTTCTTGGGAGGAAGACCAGAGACGTAAAGCACTATTATCATCACGGCATATCAGGGGTACATATAATCAATATGATGTACCATTGTTGATGTTAACCTTTATCACTTGGCTTCAATTCTATCGATCTGATTATCTTAATGCCAATGACTTAAGATTGTCTTCTTTTTGCTAAGTCTTGGGCCATCAGGTTGTGAAATCATTTTGGTTGGTTGAACAAGCAGCATTATTTTTTTTTTGAGAGAGAGAGAGAGAGAGAGAGAGAGAGAGAGCACCCATGCGCAAGTGCACACACATTGGTGCATGTGGCTGTGTGCAAGCAAAGGAAGGGGAGAGGAAGGAGAGAATTCCAAGTAGCTCCACACCCAGCACGGAGCCTGAGGTCCAGGCTGACCTCAGGAACCATAAGATCATGACCTGAACTGAGATCAAGAGTCAGACATTTAACCAGCTGAGCCACTCAGGTGCCCCAAGGAACATTATTTAAAAAAAAAAAAATTTTTTTAAGTGTTTGTTTATTTTTGAGAGGGAGACAGAGTGTGAGTGGGGAGGAGCAGAGAGAGAGGGAGACACAGAATCCAAAGCAGGCTCCAAGCTCTGGGCTGTTGGCACAGAGCCCTACATGGGGCTTGAACTCACAAACTCCAAGATCATGATCTGAACCGCAGTTGGACACTGAACCAACTAAGTCCCCCAGGCGCCCCTGTTTTTAAAAAGAAATGGAACAGAAAAGAGTATACGAGCGCTGAGCTCTGCTTCTGGATACACTCGAATAGCTTGCACTGGAGTAATCCTCCCACCACGAACAGGTGGGAAAGCCAGATACACGCACACTCGTACTCCCACGCGTGCATGCACACACACGGTCAGCGTGCTTGAGGGTGCTGAGGCCACCAAACCGTGGGTGGCACCCCCACCGCAAGGGTCCTTCGGGAAGGCCACGTGGGGCTCCGCAGCTACCTGTTGGCTCAGGGCTCTGCGGATGTGGGGAGCCAGGCCAGCCTCTGAGAACTCTGGCAAAGGACAAGGTGGAGGGCCACTGTTATGTATGAAGAAAAAAGCAGAGCTTGTAAGAGCTTTGTTGATTTGTACAGATAGAAATTAGAGACCCGGAAGGCCAGGACTCTGGTGAAAGAGAGGAGACAGAAACGGCTTGTCAATACGCTGTTTTTTTCCCTTTACGATATCTGCGAAATTCTCAAGAGGGAATTAAGAAGCCAAGCAGAAAACTTTGAAAACAGTAGTGTAACGCAGTCTTTTGCGCTGAGGAGACGATTCGAGTTCACATCCTGCAGCAGAGGAGGGGCCCTAGCACTCACCCCAGCCTCTCAGAGGGAGAACTAACTCTAAGCCAGGAAGAACCAAAAGACGACAAAGTCGTGCCCAGACTGCGGTGCAGCCCTCGTCAGTTCACTCTGGGACTGGATCGATACGGTCCACTCTCTCCACATCTGCCTCGCAAGGGGGGCGGGTTGCCCGCTCTGGAGAAAGGAGAATCATTTAGACACTCTACAGATGCATTCATATACCATACTCTCAATACAAAATTAGCCGGCATCCCAAGGGACTGGACTAAAGGAACTAAAAGAAAAAAGACACTAGAAACAGACTTGTAACAGATGAAGCCAAATATTGGAATTATCTGACAAAAACCAAATAGTTATGTTTCACACAGTCAAGAAAATAGAGAAAAATCCCATCTTGAACACTTCAGTCCAAAATCCATAAGCTGGGGCTGAAGAGAAAGACTGGGTAGCCTGAAGTAAGAGAATGGAGACACAAAGGCAGAGGAGTATGTTGGCGTGGCAGCAAGGCACTGCCTGGGCTGCTGCAGCCAGGCCAAGACCAGAGAAAGGCCAAAGAGGTGAATGAGGAGGGCCGGATGGGCCGGGAGCCTGGCTTCACATAGGGATGGATCACGTGAGCGATCATGTTGAAAATAAGGGGTATAAGCTTTTGCAGTGTTAGAAAAAGCAATTATAGGGCCGCCTGGGTGGTTCAGTTGGTTAAGCGTCCAACTTCGGCTCAGGTCATGATCTCGCAGTTTGTGAGTTCGAGCCCCGTGTGCAGCTCTGTGCTGACAGCTTACAGCCTGGAGCCTACTTCAGATTCTGTGTCTCCCCCCTCTCTCTTCTTTCTCCCACTCATGCTCTCTCTCTCAAAAATAAATAAACATTTAAAAAAGAAAAAAAGAAAACAGAAATGCAATTACAAATGGAGAAAGGGAGAAAACTAGAATGAATCCTGTGGTGTTGGATTGGGATTGTAGAGAGCAATGTGAACTCATGGTTTTCAATACATGCAGGCAGATACAGAGATTATATACATACATCTATTTCCTGCCTCTGTAGGAAATGGTCTGGGAGCTGTGATATCCCAACATCAATGAGTTCTACCTAGTACTCAGAACTTGGTTTCTAAACAGTTTTTCACTAAAAGGAACCCAGGCTCCTTGGTAAATGACTGATTCCAGGGCCAGGCAGAAAATGCAAAATAGGGTGGAATGCCTTGTTCTAAAAGTAAGGAAATTGCTCAAAAAATGACAGGGACATGTAAAAAACACAGAAAGCAGCCTGAAAGGAGCTCCCACTGGCTTGAACATCACAATTATTGGTAGTGATCAATTAAAACATTGAGTAAATAAGACTGTAATAGTCCATATTGATTAAATAAATGAATAAACTGAAGGTTTAATGATGAATAAGGTATTTATTTACATAGTTTCAAAATACCTCCCCACAAAACACTAATTACTCTATTACTTTCCCAGGGTTGTGGTAATAAAGCACCACAAATCAGATGGCTTAAAACAACAGAAATTTATTGTCTCCTTTTTTAAAAAAATTTTTTATAGTTTTATTTATTTTTGAGACAGAGACAGAGCACGAGCGGGGAAGGGGCAGAGGGAGAGAGAGAGAGAGAGGGAGGGAGGGAGACACAGAATCTGAAATAGGCTCCAGGCTCTGAGCTATCAGTACAGAACGTGAGGCGGGGCTCGAATCCATGAACCGCGAGATCATGACCTGAGCCGAAGTGAGACG